CAGCGAGCAGATTCACTCACCCACCGCTGCATTTTCCCGATGCAGCCGCCCTTCCCACGTTTGCCACCGCGTCCTGGAAGCGTGCTCCCGCACTTGTCCATGTCGTACGCGCATTACGAAGACGAGCGAGGACGGGGAATGCTTCCCTGTCGGCACTTGTTCATAAAGTGCGGATTCGTACGGACAATGAGCTGATAAACCGGCAGACGGCTAGCACTGATTGAGCGGCGGCAGCGGAGGAGGAGGAGGAGGAGGGGGGGGGGAGGAGGATGTATCAGCAAAGACTCCGAAGAGGCGCAGAGCGCGGAGCGCCGGCTGCGTGCTGGAAGGGCTGTCCTCAGACGAAACGCCCTTCTGCCACTCTTCTTCCAATCGCACTCTGCTTCCCCCCCGCCCGCGTGAAAGTACAGTTTGTCTCCCTGCTGCTCCCCCCAACCCCTGCGGTTCGTGTTCGTGTTCACATTCCCAGGCGCACACGGAAGCCCAGGTGGCGCAGCAGCGACGGCTGCCCTTGGGGCGAACTTTGGCGACGTTTTGCTGGCCTCGGGAGCTTAGAAGGCCTCCGCATAGTCCCTGAACTCCTGGAGCCGCGGACGTACACACATGCTTGACTAGACAGTAATGCGTCGCCACCAGGCTCGCTCCTTGAGGCCGTGAAGGTCTTGGTATTCGCAGGCAAGCCCGGGGCCGACATCCAGTTCGACTCGATGCAACTTCATTTGAACGGCAGGGACAGATTAAATGGCGCCGGAAGCGGCTCGTTGAGTTTACAGTGAGCTCAACGCTGCCGTCTCTTATCCGAATCGACTCGCACTTACTGGCTTCACGAGCATAATTTGACCTTGTCTTGGTTTTCTCGTCGTCCACCGCCGTCGCCTCGGGTTCCGTAAATGTGTCTTTTCTCTAGTATGTTCGTTTTCCCTCTGTTGGTGTACCATAGCACTACCACTCGAGGCGGCTGTCGCTCTCAGCCGCCACACAAAAACCACATTTAATTTTCTTTCTTTGGGAAGGCCGGCGAATGCCAGTGCTCACTCTACTCCCTATTCTTCCAATCCGGACATGCATGCGCTGGGAAGCTGTAGGGTTCTGCATCATGTACGTCGTCAAATACCCCGCGCACAGTTTGCACGCTAGATAACGCCGGTCGTGCGGAAGCTCGCGCAGGAGTTCGTTCACACGGAGCAGGGAGGTATGCCAGAGGTAGCTCTGAGGGGAAAGGACCTGGTTGGCGGCCTGGTCGCGTACCAGAATCTATTGCGCACGTTCCGCACGAATAAAATTAAGTACATGCCATGCAGATGCATCACAGGGATTGCCTCTGTCATACGACCGCTGGTCAGTCCTATCAAGGAACCATCTCAGTATATCCTCCTCACAGACTGCACACCCGAATATCTTGACGTCCTCCGCCGCGGGTAGAGGCCGCGTTGTGAGGTGATACATGGTTGGTACATAAAGAACAGCTAGACAGACGCCATTCAGTGTCGTGTTCTTGGTGTCCATCGTCACTGGTCGGATCGAAAGTTGAAGTCATTTGCAGATGGCCATGAACATCTCTGCTATCAGGATGACCATGTCCCATCTGCCAGTTTGGGCCTCGAAGTACTCCTGCGACTCATCTGGAGGTCTGGCCTTGTTGTGGTCATACGTATCTCAGAAGCACATGCGCCTCGTCGCATGGGTGACTCAAATTCTCGGGCCCACCCTCCTCGGACTCGCTCTCCTCTGGATATGGATCGATGTCATTGGAGGAAAATTCCCTTGCCATGCGCTTGACTATGTAGTTGTACTTCGTGAGATGCAACAGGGCGCCCAACTCGGTGAGCCACTCTCAGTATATCGTAGGTGGATGCAAGGGGCAGTGAGGGATAGGAATGAGGATGCGGGGGGTCGCGGAAAACGGCTCATCTCAAAATGCAGCCAACATACTATGATGCATCGGTGAGCTGACCTCATTGTTGTATGACAGCGATGCTCACCTCTATGGGGATTTGAGCGCTGCGGGGAACAAATTGGAATGACAAGAGAGCCTTTTGGTCGCGGCAAGTGGGACGGAGTAGCCGTTCAGAGTGTGTTCGCCATTGAGGTATGGATGTGTTCAATTGCTAGATTCAGCGTTTGGGATACAACTCATTGTGCTGTGGCCGCACCTTTACGTGGCTGCAGTCAAAGCGGTATAGTCGATGCCGCGGTTACAGCCAGAGACTAAGACTGGATCCATACTAAGTTTATGCATATATTCAACGAGGCAATGCATTTTTCTGTTTCAGCACTGTTATATTTGGGTAGGCTGGTACTCAACAAGAGCTCTATAGTATACAGATGGAGCTGTAGGTCGAATAGCCGGCAAAGGCAACGACGGGGGCAGGCCGACTGTAGCAACGGCACAAGGCTCATATATACAATATACTATGCAAAAGGTGAGCTCCCATTTGTCATGGCGTATGCACAAAGCGTTTGAACAAGTCGCCCGTAAGGCAACGTGAATCAACATGCCAAGAAAGTCGCTCGAAAGATGCGACTTGTTCAGCTGTGGTCTTGGCAATAGTACAGCTATGTATAGTCAGGCACGAATGCTTCCCATGATTCTTGAGAGACAGTCTGGTTGCCATTGAGTTTCGAGCGTATCCATATCACAGGACGATGGGCACTTTGCATGGTCATAGAGTGTGTTAATAAGGCACGATCGAAAGCTTGCGCCACAAGTGTGATGGATTCGAAGATGTCACGCTCGATGGATGGTACTTTGGAGGCTTTGACAAGATTGCGAGGTGATGGTCCCGTTCAGAGGCGAGCTCGGGAAAAATGCTCGGCCTTTTCTGCTTTGATACGGAGATTTATATTCAGTTGGATTAATTCGACAGTTGAAAGCAGTGGAGAACCTACGCAAGCACGCTGGATTCATGCTTTTGCCAAACGTCCATGAAGTATCGCTTCGCAAGATTCTTTTTCATCCATTGTTTCCACCGTTCTACGCAAGGAGAAGCAGTCTGTATGACTCGCGTTGTCTCGCCATCGCAAAAAAGCCAGAGCAAGTATCGTTGTATCAGCGTTCGAATCCGATAGGCACCAGACATAAGCACGGGCGTTGAGGCACCAGGAAATGTCATTTCGTGGGGTGAGACGTTGCGCTTATCAATGAAAAAATAATAGAAAGGCTGTAGCTCAAGAGCGACTGGCAGCCCAGCCTCCATGCATTTCACAAGCAAGTAGACCAAGAAGAGCGATCTCCCTTTGAATTTGCCATCAAAAAACTATGTTACCCGATATTCACCTACCAATACCTGGATGAGAGAGATACCTATGAGGTCCTCGGTCAGATCAGGTTTAGGCGTGAACGCACCGACCATACTCTTCTAAGCGTCGGCACACACTTGCCACAATAAGCAGATGAGGTTCGAGCTTGAAACCCAGCCTTCGCAGAGATAAATGGGAACGCAGGTTGAAGTACTTGTATGAGTGAGTCCCATAAGCAACATTGACTTGCCCTCGGCGCGCAAGAACGCCAGGATTGTCCCATACAGCGTCATGTAGAATCGTCAACGCAGCAATTTTTGTGGCCATCGGGCAGAGAAAGGTCAGTCGGATCATTTCAAGCAGAAGATATTTGCGTAGATTGGTCTGGCAGATGTGGAGTAGGTCCGAGACCACCTTCGTCGCGACCGTCAAGGTGAATTTACATGGATCTATTGTTCTTCCCTGCGATGAAAAGACCACTGAGGAGCCAGATAGTAGCCAGTGGTGGCGTTGAATAGCCTCGCTGCAGCTGGAGCGGCGCTAATTGGGTGGCTAATTGGAATTGGCATATTTATTCCGCGCTGTCTTCTTGTACGCAGAGTTGGTCGAAGAACTTGACGTCTACGCCCTTGCTCCCACCCTTTCGCTTTTCGTTGCAGTCCCTGCATTTGTCTTTGCCTTCCATCCGGCACTGCCAACGCCGTTCGACGGGCACCTTTCCCGCGTACAACTCACTCCGAACCGCCTGTTCACCGTGCGCCGCACAGGATAGTAGATTAGTCCCGAGGTATGTCGCATTTAAAGAGGGCGCATTCGGTCGGAGCTGATGGAATGCGGTGGGCAAGACAGCTCGAATCAGACATCGCTCCCTCTATCTGTCACTCGTTTTCTCTCGCTACCCATGCATGGCTGCAACCTCTCGCCCGCGAGCACACACTCCCTCCCCCCTTGCGCGTCTCTCCAGACTGTTCAAGCACCCCAGCTCGGCGTCCCCCACCTCAGCCGATTCGGACAAGATGACTGCCAATGACGACGACGACGAGTGGTACATCCCGTATCATGGCCCATATGAGCCCCCACGCCCTCGCGCTCACGACGGCGAGGGACGTGACAGTTGGGGGCGGCTGGTCAGCGGCTGGCTGGGCGAGGGCGACAGCATACAGCAACAACAAAGACCGCGCACACGCGAAGGCACGCCGGACCTACACAACCGAGTCTTGCGCCAGCCAAGCCGCGTCCGTCTGCGTGCTGCAACAACCACATCACTTGCCGACCCGCCCCGTCCGAGCACATCAACCCGCCGCAATGTCCCATCCCTCATCCACCTCGACCAAGCAGGCGGCGTCGGTGAGGCTCCCCTCCCTGTGCGCGTCCCGCGAGAAGACCAGCATCCCCGCCCAGAACCCAGTCGGCACAGTATCGTGAATCTCCTCTCGTTTGGACAGGCGGGCAGGCGCAATAGTGTCCGACATTCTGCATCAGTCGGCCAACTATACCCAGATGCGGAGGTGGCAGCGAGGTCATCGGAGAACCCTTCCTCGTCGCGGTGGGTGGATGGCGAGAGCCAGACCTTGTATGTGAAGAGGCACCCATATGCCTTCCCGTTCTCCGCGCCCGTTACTTCTACCTCTGCGTCACCCATCACACCAGTCACCGCTCCCACTCCCACCCGCAAGCGTCATCCTCCGCCCCTGCTTCTGCAAAAGCCCCCACCAGTCGCCAACGCGTCCAGACTGAACCTCAAAACATCCGCATCGACACCTAACCTCCGCAATGCCTCGACCACACCCGCCCACCCCCCTTTGGCGCTGCCGAAGGGCAAGCAACGCTGGCTCTCGCCCGAGACATGGTGCGATGCACTCATCCTTCCGCGGCCGCGCTTCACGATACGCGTCGATGCGTATACGGGTGGGAGCAGCGGGCGCATCGTCAGTCCTCCTGCGAGTGTTGTCTGGGCCTCGGGTTCAGGTCCCTCTGGACAGAATCGTGCGCTGGCGGAGCGGGCGGCGGCTGCGATCGCGGGCGAGGGGGAGGACCGGCGGAGTGGGCTGTACAAATCACGGTCGCTCGCTAACCTCGAGTCCACATACCATGCTGCAGATGTTCTACGCGCGGAGCCGATGCGTGTAAGAGCAGGAGCTGGAGTCGTTGGTGGCGAAGGAGGAGGAGAGGGGGAAGGTGTTGCTGGGCCGTCCAGGTTAAGACCGCCGAGGCCGAAAAGCTTCGCGTTGGATGACCTCGCGCTGCCGAGTCCGGTTCCGTCCCTGTCCAAGTATGTCTTATTTCATTTTCGTTTCCATTTCCGTATGATCGGATATGCTGCGCGCGTCGAAGGCCTGGGCGCGTCTAATCAAGCAGTACTGGGGATTGATACTTTCCCTGTATAATTTTGGGATATCCTCAGGTACTGCTTTGGAAACCTTGAACACCCTGTGTTGGAACGTATTCGGGGCCTAGCGTGTGCTAGGCCCGAGCTGATTGCGGTCTCGTTGAATGGGTCTTCTGTGTAGCGCCTTCGTGACATCGCTTATATCTGCTGTCTGTTAGGGTATTGGAAGATGGTAGACAGCTTGAAGAGCAACGCAAGGCATGGCAGTCGCAGGCAACACGCTCTTTTCAAAATAAACGCGCACGCTCCTTCTCCCGCGCCCGTGCAAGATCCCTTGGAGGTGCCAACGCCCGCGCTGCGCACGATGCAGGCCGCACTAGTGCAATGGATGTGCTCGCCGAACGGACACTTCTCGGCAACCAGACCCGGCCGCCCACTGTGCACGTTCGCCTACGCCCATCACACTCGCAGCCTCTACGTGCGGCAGCTGAGCGTGGCGCGGGCACCAGCACGCTCACGACGACGGCCTCTGGCGGACGGACGCGCTCACATGCTCATTCAAATTCAGCCGGCACAAGTTCTTCGCGTAATCACACAGAGGAATCTTTCATGTGGGGCGCCGGGAATAGTAGCGGGGGGCCAAACCATGCCCGCGCTCAATCTCTCGGCCGCTCGGCGCTGCGTCTTGTGCGTTCTACAGCGTCAAATGCAGCGACGTTCTGTGGCTTCGTGAGCGTGGAGAAGCTGTCAGGACGCAGTCCTGTACCATTCTCGCCGGATGAGGCGGCGAATAGATTGGAGAGTGCTCTGCGCAGACAGGACACTCGCGTGATACGTCTGCAAGATCAGGTCAGATGGGGCAAAAGCCGGGACGAGCACCACGAGAGTGTCGTGCTCATCACTCCTGCGTCGCCGCTCACGACGCAGCCTGCGCCACAGCCCATCTCTCTTGGACCTAATGGACTGACCGGCGACTCGCCGGCACCGTCAGCGGGGTCATATTCTGGCGAAGGCATAGGCGTCGCCATATCGACACCCACGCCGTCGGATGAACAAGCTCGTCAGCGGACTGCAGGCCGCGAACCTCTCCGGATGCCTGCACACCCATATGCACAGGGCGCGGCGTATTACTACTACTCTGCTCCGGACCGCGCGCCCGAGGCAGAGGTCTCATTTTCAGCTGCTCGTAATGAATCTGAACAGCTTGAAGATGGTTTAGTGCGACAGCGACAGCCGGTCATGGTTCATCCATACTCTCCTTATGCACAAGCTCAGCAAACTTCAGACGCTCCGCTTATCACGCGCACCGCGCCAGATCTCGACAATCCAGTGGAAGTGCAGGAGATCGCGCTCCCCGCTGATTCCAATGCAAACTTATATGCGGAACTCAGCCCCGGACATATTCGCGAGTTTCCCGCGGACGAACTCCGTTACTCACCGTTCATTCTTGTTCACCCTGTACAGCGGCAGCACGATAAAACACAGGTAGACGAGATTCCACCCAGCATGGGTTCGTCTAGAGCGCATCCATACGGCCCGCAGTCGAAGCGAACCAGTGAATGGGGGTTCGCTGATGCACTCACACAGACGTTGAGGGATCGGGGCAGCGTCGACAGCGGGATCGGAACATGCGAGAGAAACGACCCACTTCGAACGGACGACCCTGGGATTTCCCCCTCGTCTTTAGAAGCTTCCCCGGATGCGTTAGACTCGGAAAGGCGTGATGCAGCTTTCTTATCCTTTTCTTCCCAAAGCCTTGTTGTACCTGCATCTAGTTTGCGGACTCCGGGGTCTCAGACGCGTCCAGCGATGGAACGGCGCGAGACCACACATTCCTCGGGGAACACACTAGCCTCGTCACCCATCGACCACATCCTTCCACCCTCCTTCCGTCGGCGGACGTCTTCTGGTGTCCGCACAGCCTACTCGTCGGCATCGTCACCGGGCGTCGTTTCTCTCGAGTCGTCCCCTCCTACCTCGCCACGTCCGCTCAACGGTCCATCAGACGATCTTGAACGGTTTAGGAATCTGTTCTATCGCCCACCATCTCCCCAGGACCTGGAGTCGCGGAGAAGTGAGAGCAGGAGTAGATCCCCGTCTATCGAGCGGCCCGCACGGATGTCTCCCCTTTTGGAGAGCGAGGCCAGCGCAGGCATCCCTGCGGATATCTCGTCTGCAAGCACGCGCAGTGTCAGCGGGCTCACGAACCTTGCGCAGCAGCTCACAGATGACTTGGAAGAGCTTCGGGAACTCACCGACATGAGCGATCCTCACGACGATATCGCTAACAGCGAGCGCGAGCGCATGTCATCGCCGATGTCCTCTCCACCAAAGTGGGGCAGGCGATTTGGGGGGCTGCGTGGACCACGGCCTCGAGATGCAGTCCCGGACCCGAATACTGTCTTATCCCAGTCGTCGTCAGCAGCAAGTTCCCCTCCCGGTGTCGGTGCATTATCTCCGTTGCGTTTTCCCCTCGACCAGCATGGGTCGCTCGCTCAACCGACCATCAACGTACCGGAAGATGTGGATACTCTATCAAGGTCATCTTCTGAACTGGCTCTTCAGGATGACGCGGACGGTAAGATACCATCGTTCGTATCAGATGTCAGTCATATTTACTCATTGGTGGGCGCCTACAGAGACCTTACGCGTTGGCATCGTTGAAGCTCTTGCGACACCCCCGCCCCTTTCCAGCCCTCATCGCGCCTCAAGCCGCCTCTCCCTCATTCATTTTTCACATACTGATGGCGACGGCAGCATGCGGCTTAGCGCGGATCAGCTCGACGCGCGCACTAACTCGCAATACTCTAGCCTAGGTGCCCTGACCTCTGACGTTGCACGCTCAAGTTACATGACTGCCGGCACGACTGGGACGTCCCATATGTCTGGCCTTTCCGATTTCCCGGCACCGCCGACGGAAGTGACGCCCGAGCACATGTCAGTTCTCGATTCTTATTTTGACGACAATTCCTTGGCGCAACCGCATGGTCGATCTCTCAACGCCTCTTTCGGCACGCGTCCTGCGGGTGTTCTCATACGTGAATCTAGTCGCGGAACATTCGGTCGTCAGGATGATGTCGGACAGGCCCTTTGATGACGATTACTACTCTTACTCTATCTTCGCTCGGTTTTGGCACATTTTATCCCTTGAGCTGTAATACATTTCAGCATTAGACTCTGCATGTTGTTACATTGATTTATGATATAATCTTTATGTGACTATGGATCTATCTAGTACATGACAATGCGGCCTACGAGAAAACACAACAGCAAACACACAGCGCAAGATACAAAGCGGTAATGTCATGTAAATTCTACTCGTCGTATTGAGTGAGCTGTGAAAGTTTGACGACAATCAACATATGATCATGCAAACACACAAACTGCACAACTTACGTCGAGAGTCAGTGTGCGTGAACTATTGACCTCCTGGTCTCGGTAAATTCCAACAAGTGAATTGCTGCGCTCGTACAACGATCCTTTGAGACTGATGACGACGAACTGGAATGATTCAGAAGCATGAGATCGAATGTAATTCGCGATTTTCGCCACGTTCGTGTTGTCCAAGGCCGCATCAACTTCATCAAGCACGAAGAATGGTGATGGTTGATAACTGAGGAGGTATAAGCTGGTGTGGTATACGATATGTGACTTGTGCCATAACATACCTGTGAATTGCAAATAACAAGGCAAGGGCAGCAATCGTCTTTTCTCCTCCAGAAAGCTGTTCCATATCTCGGAAACGTTTCATCGGTGGCATGGCATGATATTTGATACCAGCCGTGTAAGGTTCCTGTAGTATATGATTAGTGCGTCGGACCAAAAGTAGCGTAAGATGTATCGATACCTCACTATCCTCCAAACTTAGGTATGCTACGCCTCCCATCGGCGCTGCTTTACCTTTTGTGAGGTCTTTATACACTTGATCGATGCGCTCAGAGATATGGCTATATGCTTTATTGAACAATTCACAGCTAATTGAGTTGTCAGTGAACACGAAACAGTTTCAAGATAGTGTCATGGTACTAACCGGCGACGCTTAACATCATTGAAGTGATCGCGAGCACTCTTAGAGTCCTTGCGAGCCTTATCAGCCTCCCTCTCGGTCTCCATGAGTTTGTTCTCCACGTCGTCGAGCCTGTACGTAGCTTATAAACCATGGTCAACATTGCACGTAAGTACGACTAACCTGTCCATAGCTTTCAAATTAGGCGCCATATGCTCAATCTCTCCATTCAGCTTGGAGATCGATGCGTCCAGCTCAGCAAGAGTTTCATTCGATCCATCCTGAATGACAATTAATCAAAGCCCGACATTGGCGAGAACTGGGATGTACCTCCCGCTCGTCCTCCTCAAGACTCTCGAAGTTGACTTCAATGCCGTAATCAGGAATTCGTTTCGCATGCTGGCTACCTTCCTCTTCTTCGTCTACGTCCATAGCAACCTCCTCCCGCAGATTCTGCCATCTCCGTTAGAGCCTTGGATATGAGGGAATCAAGGACGAATTCACCTCTTCCATGGGGACATTCTTCAGATTTCCTTCGATCAAGGGAAGCCGAACCTCATCCAACCTACATTTCCGATATATACTTGAGCGTTCCAACCCGAGCTTTTCGATCTCGTCGTTCTACCAGCCGTTCTAATTTAGTAAACATATGATAAAATGTTACAAGCGAGGAAACGCACTCTGTTAGCAATGTCTTTCAAAGCCTGATCCAACACCTTGCCAGCCTTCATGGTAGTACGCTTGAGCTGTTCAACCACTTTAGACTTCGCCTCCAAGACCTCGTTAGACTCCTTCAGCTCGTCCTGTAATTTGTCGAGTGACTGTTCCGCAGAAGATATTTCTTCCCGGATATTGGCTTGGGATTCTATATACTTCGTGATATTTTCATCTTCCGTGTTAACCACAGACTCGATCGTGCGCAAACGATCTTCTGTCATGTGCAGCTGCTCCTCCACGAATTTGGATCTATACTTATCTGATGAGAAGGCAAGAACAGTAATCATAACTAATCACATACTGGTGGGTCAGACGAGCAATCTGTGTGTCGAATTGCAGTCGTGCCTCGCTTTCAGCCTGGGCAACCTTCAGCTGACGCTCCTCGTACTCTCGAATGTTCGGCACGCGAATAGTCTCGCAAAAGCTTGCGAAAATCTCGTCCTCTGCAGCATTGATTATACTCGCAAGCTCATCAACCCTCTCTTTGAGAGAATTGTATGCTGTTTGCGCCTACGAAAGACATTACTTTTCGCTCGTACTAAATAAAACAAGATGAATAAGGACATACCGTCCGAAGTTCTGGCTCCGATCTTCTAATTTCCCTGTCAACATGTTTGAGCTCATCTTTGATGCCATCCAGTCTAAGCTTGCATGCAGCCTGAAAGGTAGTTATGACCAACCGCATCAAATAAGAAAGGACAAAAGAACATACCAAATCATCTTTTGCAACCGTCTGAGCAGATTCCAGGCGAGAGATCTCATTGATTAGATTGTCGTCGGCTTGACCGCGAGGCTTCGACTTGTTGAGGTCCCGGAGCTGGCTCATTAGATTATCCCGGACGCGTTGGAGACCTACAAACGCATGAGCACATTCTCTCGGCCATATCACATCGGTCGGACATGCGTGCCTTGAACATCCTTCTCCTCCCATTTCCGACCGGTTCCATGAGTACTACGTCCACCTGTAATTAAACCGGTCTTGTGTATGATTGTCCCTTCAAGCGTTACGGCTACGTAGAAAAGTGGGTCTGAATATGAATCCACAGGCCTCTACAAACTAAAGCATACCCTTGACTTCTTGGCCCTTCTCATAGCATACGTACCGAGCAATCTCCAACGTGTCACACACAAGGGCATTACCACATGCGTGGTGCATCGCGCGTTCGACCGCGGGCTCATACTGGATAATGTCGAGAGCGAGTCTCGCACCCTTTGCAAAAGACCGGTACTTGTCGTTAATTGGCTTTGCTTGGATAGTATCTAGCGGGATGAACGTGGCTTGACCTGCACGTTGATTACGCATATACTGATCATGCACAGCTCAATTCAAGTAAGGACCTAATTCTGATTGAAGAACACACCTCGATGCAGTCAATCGCGGTCTTCTCCTCGTCCACTACGATAGCATCGATATTACGACCCAGGACAACTGAGACGGCAGTCTCGTACTTTCTCTGAGTAGGCTTACAAAGATCGATTACTCTGCCGCGGACACCTGAACACCAAAACCGATGTCTCAAAAGAAGTCTTGATTATGAACGAAAACATACCTGGGAATATACGCTGCAAATTCATGAGAGTCTCTTTCATCCTGCTTTCCTTCTCCGACTCCTTCTGATCAACGCCAGCCTGAAGCAGCTTATTGTGTACGTCAAGCAGCTTCTCGTTGATCTCGTTCTCCAGTTTCCTATCACAAAATGAGTCTGTATGCGCAAGTGCTCAATAACACACGTACGTAATTCTGGTACGTTCCGCGTGTTGGTTATCCAACTCTTGTTTCGCTTTCGTAAGCGCCTCGTTGACTTCTGCGACTTTAGCTTCTAACTGAAGCACATTCTTAGGGCACTACGTCAAGGGAGAATCTATGAGAACGCGCCTCCGCTTTCTTGTCGTTCTGCGTTTGCCTATCTTGACGTAGCTTCTCCGCCTGTTGAGTCTGCTGCTCATGCTTGTCCTTTAGCTGCGCCAAAGTCCGGGATGCCGTCTTCTCATCACGAGTGAGTGTATCCAGAGACTGGCGTTCCTCTACAGCGAGGACGCTTGCTTGCGCTTTCCTGTACAATAGGAAAGTTGACCACAAAGCTCCACGTGATACGAATAACGTACAATCGACGGTATTCCTCTAGACTTTCCTCACTTAGTGATAGATTGCTCTGTGCAGCCCTTCTTTGTGTCTCTACACAAGTAAATAAGGATTAGTGCACGAATACTAGGGAGAATGAACCGGCCTTGAGCATCATTTGCAGCCCTCTGGACTCTATCAAGGTCAGCTTGCAGCACTCGGAGCTGGTCCCTTTGTTTTTGGGCCGCCTGTTCAGCCTTCTCCTTTTCTTTGGAAGCATTATCTCGCCTCCTCTCCGAGTGCTTGATCTGTGCATCCACCTGTACTAGATCTGGTCTCTGTAGAGCAAGTCAGATACCACAAGACCCCGAGAATAATTGAGATCCTAACCTTGGCTTCAAGCGCTTTCTCGGCCTTCTTGATTCTTTTCTCCTTCTGCATCACGGCCGAACGCGCCCTTGCCTGTTCAGCACGCGCTTCTTCGAATGCCTGATTGTGCTGGCGTTGTTCGTCTCGGAGCCCAGTCAATGCTCTGTTCTGGTCCTTTATCGCTTGTACGTGCTCGTCCAACGCTTTCTGAATGTGGAACAACTTGAACAAGATACGGTGCAAAATCATCTCGTCCTGATAGACAAGCGATTAGCAGATACAATCCACCCTTGGTCAAATCAACTTACGCGCTCCTGGCACATGGCCTCAAATCGTTCCGCCTCACTTTTTTGTTCCTTGTACTGCTTGATCTCGCCTGCAATACCCCTCCGCTTAGTGAAATTGAACGTCGCGTTTTCTGTGGCTCGTTCCTGTGCCTCCTTCGCTTTGTCGTATTCACCGGCCAATTCAAGCGAGCCACTGATCTGGTCAATGAGCCGCGAGAGCTCTTTCGGAGATTGAGATGCCACCGCCTCGACATCGCCCTGAAATACTAAAAAGTTCTTGGCCTTGACAAGGATATTATGCGAGACGAGGGCGGCATTATACGCGGAGTAGGTTACAACTTGCCCGTTAAGCCTGTATTCTGAAGCGCCACTTGTGGAAATCCTATTTTCGCCAATGATCAGTCGCCGACGACGCGCAATAGAATATAGCCGCCCCTGTTTTCCTCGCTGTTGAGTGAAGCACTTACGTTCGTTGAAACTTCCATTCCTTATCCTTTGAATCTTGGAAAACCGCCAAAACCCAAGCTCTTCTTGCATCTCCATCGCCCACCTCCTCTCTGTCGTCCTCCTCTTCCTGTTCGGCATCGTCGCTGCTCGCAAGCCGCCGCCCACGGTACACCAAGTCTTTCAACTGGCTACTGCGAAGCTGCGCGCTCTTTACACCAAGAACGAAAGAAATGGCGTCCATCAGATTTGATTTGCCTGCGCCATTGGGCCCAATCACCGACGTGAAGTTGCGGAAAGGGCCAATAACTTGGTGACCGCTAAATGCTACGTGAGTCGGATGCGTACGTGTAAACCAAAATTCTGCGGACTGACCGGTAGGACTTGAAGTCCGATACTTCGATGCGTATCAGAGGCATGAATCCGCGAATTAGAAAGAGAGCCGCGAATTGAGCTCGGGGGATAGGACTGTGGCTGCCAGACGCGTCGCGGTCACAACCACATGATCTGGTGACGCGCCGAACTTCTAGCTTGCCCAATGACCAATGGCCGACACGGCGAGCACCGTTGTTACTGTAAATTAGCTACGCTCATCTCGTTTGCATCATTATATTATATAAGTATTTCTATGGCCTGCATCGTACATTGTTATCGCTGATTCAACCTGCTGCCACTCTTCCTTCAGGGTCCCAGATATACCAGACTGGGGAATAGGCTCATGCTGACGATTCCATCTACAGTCTGAAGAGCACGAGGAACGCGGATGCTATCAAAAAACCAAGTATTCTCCCATGCTAGTCTTATTCGGACCTCGACCACGGCCCGATGTCATAGGACGAAGGCCTTCTGATAAGTAAGTGTACGGTGGGAAGGCTGATACTTGTCCGTGTTCTCTATATAAGTTCACTCGTGTCATCAGACCAGCTCGCCCACAGTATTCGTGCGATGACTGAATCCGAGCGACCAATCCACCAACCCATTCATCCCGACATCCTACCCAGACTCGATCCCGAGTATGCAGCGTTCCACAATGCTACAGTTCGCTATGCGATTCCAATACAGCTGCTTCCTTGGGATGCTGCTGTCCGTCAGCACCCTGCTATCCCTGGTGGCTCCGAACCTCTGAAGGTCGGGGGTATCAGGGACATCTCCCTTGAGAGATTCGCAATCCGCGTCTTCACGCCCGAGGGCACTGCCCCCTCGGAAGGATGGCCCATCTTTTTGTTCTTCCATGGAGGTGAGATATTCCGCTTCCACATGTCTTTGCGCTCACGTTATCATAGGCGGATGGACTTTGGGAAACATAAGTACCCAAAACGCTTTCTGCACTAATGCTTGTAAGCGTAAGTGAATCGATCTTGCACGTTTGTAACAGACGCTTCATACCCTAAGTCCATCTCAGGTGCAAGCTGTGTCGTGGTCGCAGTGGATTACCGACTCGCCCCTGAAAATCCGTACCCTGCTGCGGTCGAGGATGCCGTAGATGCGCTCCGCTGGGTCTATGAGAACGGAACGAGCCAGCTCAACGTCAATCTCAACAAAATTGCTGTCGGAGGTGCCTCCAGGTGTGTCTCCTTCTTGTGTCTTCTACCAGTTTTATGAACGCACCAAAACAGTGGTGGAAACCTCGCCGCTGTTCTCACCCACAAAGCAGCACTCATGGAACCCCCTATTCCGCTATCTTTCCAAATGCTTCTCGTTCCTGTCACAGATAATACAGCCAGCACCGATGGCATTCGATACCCATCATGGGCAGAGAACATAAACACGGTTGGGCTGACGACAGGTAGAATGTTGTGGTTCCGTGATATGTATCTTCCCAACGAGAGGGACCGGGCAGAATGGGAGAACTCTCCTATATTCGCTCCTGAAGAGACTTTCAAGAAGGCTCCCAAGGCGTGGGTATTTCTCGGAGAATTGGACCTTTTGAGAGATGAAGGTGTCGCATACGCCGAAAAGCTCAAGCAAGCAGGAGTTGAAGTTGAAGTTAGAATTTATAAGGGTGCACCTCATCCAATTATGTCTATGGACGGTGCGTGAGCAGAATTTGGGACAGCAGTATAGACTGATTTTATTTTGGAACCGGCCCCATAATTTGTTTTGCAGGGTGAGACAAATCTTCTTTGACGATAATCCTTCTGAGTGAGACCACTTACACCTCTGCATCATCAGCGTTGTACAACTCGGCAGACAGATCGTTACGGATGCGGTAACAGCACTAGGCAAAGCATTTGGCACGTTGTAGGCCTGGAACCACCTGATTGGAAGGGGAACAGAATCTAATGAGCAGTGACGTGAGTATGGTCCTCAGTATGGACTGGGAACGCAGGGGGTAACAGAATCACGCCTGGACCATTTGGAATGACATCGTATTCCTAATATAATTTAGGAACTCCATGTGTGCCAAGATCTAGGGAGGTTTCATAACATTCTAACGGCGGACAGTAATCCACTACAATTCATCCCTACTATGTTGATTCTCGTCGCCTGGGTTGTTCTCTGTCTGGCCTACGTCTCCTACAGTAGAAGACACTCGGCCAGAACCAACATCGGCGAGGACATTGACGTCCGCCGCGACGATCTCTGAGCGCATCTTGCCTTCCTCCGCCAGTTTTCGAGCGAACTGTGCAATTTCGCCATCGTACTCTTCCCATTCTGGAATCTGGCGCGCGCGAGAGAGCTTGGGCTCTTTCTATTTTCGCCAAGGATGATATTGAGAAATAGAAAAGTAGTAGAAAGGTGCTACGTACTGTGAGTGGATTCTGGCACAAGTCAATTGTCTTGGCGCGGTGCAGTCGATCTTTGCTACCTGTAAAGCGAAATAGTTGGTTGTATAGATATCGCCAAGCCAAGCCACGCCAATACTTACACCAAGTTTCACACTACCCGCTACTTGTCAATAATGCACCACCAAGGAAAATAAAATAGCCCACTCACCCATAGCCAATCCTCTGGTAACGAGAACTACGAGGAGAAAAGTATGCTTGTAAGCGATCCGATGTGAGAGCTAAAAGCATTCCTACTCACAATTGGAACGTCACGCTGCAAGTTATTGGGCAAGTCTATCGCATGCAGTTAGCTATGATGAAAAAACATGAAGAACATCGCATGTATGTACCTTGGTCCAGGTTTGCGAGTGAATTGGGATCAGCAGACAGTTGTTGATAATGGCTTCGAAGGATGTCCTAGAAACGGATGTCAATGGCAATAGCTATACCAATGTCCGAGACTCACACCAGCGGCCATCTACAACCAGGTACATTTAGCATATACAGACTAAATTAATTTCGAACTTACCTGACGGAATCGCACCAGATCCACCACGTATAAAGCGCTGCATAACGAGGAATTAGAATGGACAATAGAAAGAACTTGCGACTTGTACCTGATGTGATACGGCATCCCGCGCAAGAACTCCTTCCAGTAGCCAGTCTTCCAAAATCGGAAACCCTCCATCTCAACATTGTCGTCTCCCATTGGAGTATATCCGTAAGGTGCACCGTGGAGATCAAGGTCAACGAGCTCTTTTAAGTCGGTTCGCACAATTTGGTCCGCGTCAACGAAAATGACCTTCTTTAAATCCATCGGGAAGAGCACGTCTAGGAAGAGGATTTTGTAAGCCCAGATGATCCGCTGTTTCTCCTTTTGGGCCCTGAGCCACGACGGCCATTTGTATGTGACTAGCTCGTACTGGAAACCATATGCTTTGGCAAAATGGGGGATAAATTCCTGTTGAAGATGAGAATCATAACCCACAACAAAGAGTCAAGCACTTACAAGGAAGGACGGAGAGAGGAAATTCTCAATGAACCAGAATTTCACACTACTCTTGGTATTCCGGAGTACACTGAGAATCATGATGGAGGCGAAGCGCTATCAATAAAATGCTAATTAGATTTCTTGTCCGTCTCATCGGCATATGGCCCTAACCTCGTAAAGCAATCCTGACGCGACGGTGAAGATGTTGATTTCGGCTTGCCGGCTACTCAATGCCAGTTCGGTGGTGTGTTTGTTTGAGAAAAGCTGTGACACCCTGTAACACAAGCTTGAACACACCAAGACGAGAGATACATCATAATACGAACCAAGACACTGCATTCTCCAATAGGCCCTTAGAGCTGTGATCAGAAAAAGCAGGTTCCGCGAGAACATCCACACGGCCCATTCCAGGCAGTCTCATCAGTCGTGGATAAAGTACTAGTCCCTCGAAGCTGGTCAGTGTGATCTCGTCGCCAACTTCATCCACGCCAGAACTCGTCCAGCCTTCATTTCCGACACTCTCCATCTTGAAAATCTGACGACCTCTTCCAGGACGAATCGCTAGGTGAAAAACCCCAGGCTTGGCTCGGAACTGTAGATAACCCAGGTTCGCCACGACCTGTGTATCTGCAATGGGTACACCAGCGTTCGTCGCAAGTTGCAGCTGGACGCCACGCGGAGGGGCGTTGGTAAATGTATCGCGTGCATGCCCTTCCACTACCAGATAATCGAGATCAAAGACTGCTTGGATGCCTTGCTTGCGCTCATGAGAAGACAGTCCACGGAGCAAAAGGTTATCTAGGTCGTGTAAGGCCTCACGCGGCCTAGCGAGCCACGATTGCGGCACATCCATTGCGAGTGTATAGATGGGGTCGACGGGCAGTCCTAAAAATTCAGCGGATGCGTGTATTTCCTCTCTGTTATGCAACATCAGATATATTCTAGCTTAAATGTGATAGCCATACCCATTTCCATCGAATTCAAGCCGTGGACTGAGATTGTAGCGATAGAATCTCTTTAGCGGCAACTATACACATCATTCAGTGTCATCCCACTTACATGTATAATATACACGGACCTCACGATACCTCGCCGGGTTGATGTGCAGATCGATGGAAACATCGGGGATGGTCAGAAGCCACTATCTCAATATCAACCCCAATCCAAGTTCCGACGATGACAAGCATCACTGACCTCCATAAGGCTAGTCCACTTCTGTGCCGCCTCGCTGAGTGGGCTAAGAACGATGCCGAATTGGAATAGAGCGGTACTGTTGTCTCCAAACGAGAACGCACTATGATGGACGTCAACATCGCGGCGTCGAAACAGGTTCAAGCACCGTACGTGTAATCTCCGGATAGGTGCGCATATGGGCGCTCACGGGGCCTGTAAGGTTGGTTGAATAAACCAAGTTCGCTCGGATCAGGCAGTTGGATAGCGGAGGTGATAGAAGACACCAGCGACGTGAGATCGGCGTATGATTCGCTAAAAAAAACGAACCATTGAGTAATGCAGAGATTCAGCCAGCACAAATATTACCGGTTGAGCCCCTCGAACGAGCCCAAAATACTTTCTAGAGCCCCTATTACAGGCTCCACGCGTTTCCGCGATTCATAGGCTGAAAGCGTCGGAAAATCATCTGCTGAGAATGATCCCGGCTGGATTGGTCCGAGGATCTGATGATATCAGCAGTCAATGGAAATATACTGCGACAGCCATTGCAGGCGATGAGTATACTAACCCGTCCATTGACAATTAACGCCTGATCGCCGTGAGCCAGGCTCAAGTCCCGGCTAATCAACAGGCTTGCTTTCACGTAATTATCATACTCCGCGTCTTCCAATACCGTTCCGCCCAATATATCGTTGAGACTATCTTCAGAGGAGACCACAACTTGCGGATTATGATTTGGTGCAACAACTTCGCCCAGACCCAGGACGTTGAGAAGGCGGGATGGGGAGACCTGATGAAGGATATCTTTCACGATCAGATGTGCGAGTAGAGACGAGATCTGTGGTCGCTTTGAACTCGAGCTAGTTATATGAGTTGGATTGTGAATGAATGATATCCTTGAGTTATAACCCGCAGCCTTCATGCGACATCGTGGTCAGGATTTAGGGAACGTACAGTCGGCACGTAACGTACCAGAGCGCCGAGGGCTTCTTTCATGAATAACAAGCCTGTTTCGCTGTCAAAGTCGGCAACCACATACGTTGTGAGCGAAACTTGCTGAAGCTCGGCTGCAGTATCATGAGTAAATATCAGCGATATACTGGATTATTACTCACGTGGATAAAGGAATGATCCAGGCCAGACAGGGAAGCCACTCTCCCCAACTAGAGCCGGGAGACTGAATATGCGCAGATCACCAACGTTGCTGGAAGGGTAAATATAGACATTTCGCCTCTTAGCAGCGCCAGGCAGATCATAAAAATATGTTGAAATGCTCGAAAGAGCACTATCGCTTATTTGTCCAGACATAAGCTAGTGCAACGGTTTTGAGATCGCCATAATAGAAGGTCACGAGTTAAAATTGCTTCGAAAAGTACACGTACCTGTTCTCGGAAATAGTCGAGCTCCTCTCCAAACTCCATTTGCATCATTCGTAAAAACATCTGCATAATTTCGCTGCATCAGCTCAATACAATTAATTGAAAAGAGGTATAAACCCACATCGTCCAATTTAAAATGTTTACCATTGACAAATGCATGCCCTTGCACCCCAGGCGACAAATTCGCACCTAACCGGTTAGCATACGAACGTGTTTTCTCCAAATCAACGCGGAAGCCCTCGGTGACCCCGGCTAAGATGTCGTCCAAATCAGTTGGAACGCCTTCCAGAGGGTCGCTACTAGCCAGCAACGTGCGGTATGCGCTTCGAACTAGGTTCCAATCTACAGTAATTGTCGTAGACTCCATAGATCTATCGGCCTGCGATATCTAGGCAGAGGATAAACGTGTTGGTCAATGCAGAACAGTCCAAAGTGAAGCTCACATGCTGGAGGAACTCGACTGTTCTCTTCCTGCCAAAATGAGTTATCAGGAAGTGGAATAGTCGTGCCATTCGTGTCCCTGATGCGCGAAGTTATTGTCAGCAAATTGGAGTATGAGCAAAGTGCATATCGCCCTACCTTCCTCTGTTTCCACAATCGGAACGATACCCCATCGGAATGGAAAGCTACGATTTATGATATTCGAAACCGTAACAGCAAGGAATTGGATATTGCTTGTCTGAGAGAGGTCGACAACGAGGACAACATTGAAAATGTTCGCACGTAAACTAGGGAATTGACCAGGGTACATGGGTCTCATAAACTTAATCCATCAAGGAACGGTCAGTTTCACAAGCCACAGAAAATCATCGAATTTGACAAACCAAACTAAGAGACTTCCCCCACCGCAGGTACCTATAGGACGCAGAGGTGAATGGAAGTCAATTGTCCATAAGAGCGAAGCGAACACACCGGGAGTCTTTCTCTATATTATTCATCCAGACGATGGCTCCACCCCCTTCAAGACGATCACTGGCATCGAAGATGCCATCGAGAACCCCCGATTCACTTTGCGCAGCACTGATGGACGGATGTGTCAATAATTCCACCGCCTGGCTGGGAGTGAGTCCCAAGGAGGTCAGAGATAGCATCGTGGCGCGCTCCTTGCGGAGGAGTCTTAATAACCTAAGATTATGCTCGTAAGATACGACGCTGAACATAGCATCAATGAATGACCTACGCAAATGGGTTCATGTCCTTTTCCGAGATAGAGTGCCCGTTGAGCCAAACTACGCTCGTTCCACCGGGAATCGTGATCTGATTATCCTCGACTTCTTCTAACAAGCCCGATTCAATTACTACCCGTCGCGACAGAGCGGTGGCATATTTAGGAAAATCTTGTACCAATTGCTTGAGCACAACTAAGGGTTCATCAGCGTCGTGAACCAGCTGTGTCGCTTGAAGACCTATATCTGTCCACGCGTATTACTATGAGTAACAAACTTTGGAGTATGCAGAACAACTTACCAAGCAGCTCTTCGTCCGTAAGAGGACTACCAGTGTCTAACGTCGAGTTCTCGGGATATTGCTGTAACAGTGCCATGATTGGATCTGCATTCGAATATGACGAGAATGATTCTTCTTGTGCCGCTTCCTCACTGTCAGTTCCTGCTCGACAAGAGACGTCAGTGGCCGAGGAGCGCAATATATGGATTACACACCCTTTTTACGGTCGTCTAATGCCAGATAGTCCATCTTCTTCAAATCGAGTGCAACGCCATAGCCAGAGAGATACACCTTCTGGGATGCGTCGTGATCCTTGGGTGGAAGTGGCCGGAAAACATACTCAATGTGGGGAGAAGGACCGCTCGATGCTTTGTATAGATATGTATGCAACTCTCGGAAATTATCCGATGATATCGAAGCATATAATACCGCTGTTCGAGGGGGTGCATCCAAGTTCCGTGTCGGGAGCGGTTGAATGTGATCAAACGGCATAAGCGTCGGACGCGCATGGGCTCTTCAAAATCGCAAATCAATACTTCAATCCCCAACGTATGCATTTGTGCTCACTCGTCAGTGCCTGCCTGCCCAGCCATTTCCGCGTCCACCGCATGTGCGAGGGTTTCTGCATCACATATTACATGCCCATACCAATCCACCCATGATCCACAGTGTCCTTCATGCGAAGAGTTGAGTCGTTGTGCATGGCGATCCGTATAGAACTGGTAAAACGCTTCGATGGTAGGGGTCGACGCGTGAAGAGCCAAATTCATTTCCACAGAAGCATACGCCCCAGGCTTGGACAGAAACCCATTTGAGGTCACAGTCTTGAGGATATTCTGGTATGCCGTTTCTGGTGTCACTGATGGAGGACTGAGCAGAGTCCTGGGGTCCGTAAGCATCTCGAGCAAAGGGAAGAATGCATTCGGCTCTTCAATCGAAATCGTCTCGCTGAAAAGGTCTCATATAGTAGATGTACCAGAGGCGTAATTACGAACTTACATGCATTCTAGGAGCAGCGGTGGCGAGGGCCAAGACGATCGTAATTCGACCTTTACTGGAGGGCTTCGCGCATTGCTCTCTCTTGCAAGAAGAATGGAAGCATAAGTCAGCAGAATAGCTGAGTACCACATATGACCCTCTAGCGATATGAGATTTGTCTATGATCCCTCTCTCTATGATTCCTCTCACTGGGTGTTATCGACAGCCTCAGAACAGACCTGATGACTTCGTAGACAGGTGGATAGTTGTTTCAATATGCTCTCATAACAGGTGGTAATAGCGAATTTTGTCAAGAATGGATGGGCCCGAGAAAGCAGTTGCAGAATTGGATGATTAGGAGGGATCAATGGCAGTACCACGAACGACTTGTTGGCGCAACCGCGCGAGACGCGCAGCTACGTGTACACGCGAAAACTCGATCACGTGTACGTGTTTTCTCAATAGCTCGAGGTTCTTCTGAATCTTCTCCTCTACCATATTCTGCCCGGTACTGGGACCCAAGAGTCACTATGATAACATGTATTTGCTTTCACACTGGACAAGACGAGACTAGGGGCTAGGGATCCAAAACATTGTTAGGATCATGAGTCGGGGCCAGTACTAGCGGTAGACAATAGGCTGAATATTGAATAAAACGCTACAAGGTGCGCTTTACTGTACTTCATATTGTAACTTATGAAGAGAGTGATTTCTGTAGTTTTGTTGACTTGTGGCGATTCTGTGCTCTGGGGAACATGTCGGAATATAATCGGAGTACGTATGAAATTTTCATCCTTCTCGTAGCTAGATATCTTTCACCACACGGCCAACATGATAAACTGTTGATGCTACTGTGACTGGTCCAACAACGAACGTATCATTCCCCTTCGCACACTAGACGTTATGACCGGACAGCTCTCCTGGCTGAACAATCCTCAAATGACAAACCACACCCGCACCGTGACTTGCGCTGCAGAATACGCCGTCTCTTGACTCCGAACCATCACTGCTATCGAGTCATTGGGGGCCTAGCGCTCCATTCAATCAATTATCCAACTTGGCCCCCCGCGCTCATTCCCACACCATCGTCTGACTCGGTCTTCGAGTCAGGACCGCTGTTGACAGGTTGCACTGCCTGATCTCCTTCCTTCCTGTTATTTCGATTCGGCATTCTCGACGCGACCCCCTTCGTTAAGGGGGAACACGAATTTCTCGACTGGCCGTGGTCTGCACCAAGCTTTGATTCGCACAGATCGGCCTTCAACGACAGGCGCACCATTCATTGTTAGTGGACGTGCCCGTGCGTAGCAGGGGAGGCGTGTTTTTGCATGGCGACTAGGGGGGTGCCAATGCAATCTTGCTGTACCCACCACCCATGCGTGCGGACATTTTCAATGGGGACTTTGACTTCAAGTCATGGGCAGTAAAAATGAGTCCAGAGTCTGGGGCTCTGCCGGTATAAGGTACGTATCACGCCGTGGGAGAAGGGGCTCGCCCTACTCATTCATGGGGTTACATAGCGGGCCACTTTCAACGGGCCGCCTTGGTGAGCGCAGCGGCTCATCGCTGTTATATGGAGTAAGCGGCTCTGCCGCAATGGATCGTCATTGTCAGCAGGTTTTGCAGAGTGCGCTCGGGAGAGTTCCTGTGAGGGACAGCGGTGGACGGGGTGGCAGATTGGGGAGCTCACGGCTACTTTTTCTGACAGGCTGTTGCTTATGGTGGGCCTACATGTACTGATATGGTACGAGATTACGCGGTACCGGATAATAGGCTAGTGTCTGATCCGGACGGACTCGATCGAGGTCGAGCCAGCGCCAGCGGCGTGTGCTGTATGTAATACCTGCATCTCACTCAGCAAGGCGTTATGGCGTTATCCTATCCTGGCTCTATCCTGAATGTTCTCATAGTCTCGCAAAGCAACAAATCCCAGGATGAACAGGATGAGTAATCGCTTTATCGACCCGACCACACATCTTCCTGTTCTACTTTTGAGCAGACATAAAAGCTGCTCGCCATGCGCAATCATTTCCATCTCACACCCATTCTCCCCTTCCACTGAATTAATATGGCCGACGCGAACTACATCATCAACGCCCCCGCACCTAACGTACCTTTTTACACTCCCGCACAAGACCCGCCTTCTGGAACCGCCCTCAACCCTCAGCCAGGCGGAGCACCAATACCAAAGCTCTTCCAGCCACTCAAGATTCGCGGCGTAGATTTCCAGAATCGTATTTTTGTAAGTGCAATTCAATTTATACCAGTACGCTACTCAGCCTATTGCATGTGTAGCTATCCCCCCTCTGTCAATATTCCGCTGACAACGGAAAACCTACGCCTTGGCAATTCGCACATTGTAAGTGGATTTTGGCTGATAATCACACATTCTAAATTTTGATTCTCGACTTTGTAGTGGGCGGTATCTTCACTCGGGGACCAGGCTTGACCATCGTCGAAGCCACTGCCGTCTTGCCTGAAGGTCGCATCACTCCACAGGATACCGGGATATGGTCTGACGAACACATCGCACCGTGGAAAGAGATCGTCGATTTCGCCCACTCCCAGAATCAGAAGATCGCCATTCAGCTCGCGCACGCAGGACGCAAGGCATCCACTGTTGCACCGTGGCTGGACATGGGCTTGAGTGCTCCCGAGGTCGACGGAGGCTGGCCAGACGACGTATGGGGTCCCAGTGCTGTTCCGTACAACGAAAAATTCCCGCAGCCGAAGGAGCTTACCAAGGCCGGCATCAAACGTGTTGTTCATGCATTTGTTGAAGCTGCGAGGCGGTCGCTCAAAGCAGGCTTTGATGTGATCGAGATTCATTCCGCACATGGATATCTTCTAAGCGAATTTCTCGCTCCGTGTGCAAACAAACGCACTGATGAGTATGGAGGAAGCTTCGAGAATCGTATCCGGCTTTTGCTTGAGGTGGTTGACGCTGTGAGGGCTGTCATTCCTTCGACGATGCCCCTCTTTGTCCGGTAGGCGACTCATGTGCATCGCTCGATAACTACGATTCATCTAACTCCGCATTGCAGCGTATCCGCCACGGATTGGCTCGACCAGGTCCTTCCGACAGAATCATGGCGAGTTGAGGACACTGTCAAGTTGGCAGGTATCCTCGCTGACCATGGCATCGACCTCATCGACGTTTCGAGTGGCGGAATTCATCCAGCCCAGAAGTTCGGCTCGGCTCCTCTCATGCAAGTTCCATTTTCTGATGCTATCAGGAAGGCCCACGGCCACAAATTGCTTGTTGGTGCTGTTGGTTCCATCAATACTGGTCTCCTTGCTCAGAAAGTTCTGGACGAGGAGTCAGCAGACGTCATTTTTGTCGGAAGACAGTTCCAGAAGAACCCCGCGACAGTGTGGGCCTTTGCGGAAGATCTCAATGTATCCATCCATGTTGCACACCAAATCGAATGGGGTTTCGCCGGAAGAGGCGGTGTGGGCAGGAAAGGTGTATAGCTCGTGTGCTCTGATTATTGTAGACAAGAGATTCATATGTGCTTTAGAAGTAGGCTACACTTTGAGATAGCAGCCTCGTATCGGGCAGCCTCCTGCGATATATATACAACATTGCATCACGCAGAATTCGGAGTGAAAAGCAACTATATTGTATTTGTATGCCCTCGACGCCAGAACATTGCCCTGGCTAGTGACGGAGCTTATACGTGGTGTTGTCTGTACTCAGCGCACTCGGTGCCGTATACAACTTGTCTTGGGTGTTTACTATACATATGTCTCTAGTACTCTACGGCTGGTGAACGGTTGATACCGGAGACGATCGCGTAGGCGCGCCGAAAACCGTGACTGCATCAATTTAAGTATATACGCCCCTCGGCTAGACACGTCCGCGTTCAGCTAGCTTCCACTGGATCACTGCTGCAGGGAGGAGGCTGAAATCAAGTCGACTCATTCTAAGTGTCCCTTCAACTGTGTCACGAATGTCGCGACATCGCTGAGTAGGGATCCTTCCTAGATAGCCTTGTAACGGCATTAAAGCCCCCTCAGCAATGACACTGCTCTTGAGTCGATCTGCCGCTTTAAACTTCTTGTCAGCTCACTCGCTTCCAGCGCAGAATCCGCTGGCTGGAATGGCGCTCAATTCTCAACCTGATAGTAATACCAATTCCAGACGTGCCTTTGAGCCATTCAGGACCAGTCTCAGCAAGGACTTCCGCGATCGTATGTGTACATTTGTATAGGTTAGTCACTGTCGCTGGACCCCTTTCTCGCACATTTACGAGCTGACTAAATCAAATCCACAGCTTCCTCTTCTTTAGGGCCAGGGCAACGTCAACGTCAACGACGGCAAGGCAGCCCTAATCCCGGATTTGACCATGTAATATGGGTGAGTTTCGTCGAAGCGTTCTCCTTGCTCGAGGGTCAGTTATTCCTTAGCACCGTGATTTGTGGTTCGACGAACATGTAGAGCTCTGGACGCAGATGATTGTCTTCTGCGAGTATGCATGGTATCCAAAGCTTACACGTTTACTTAGGTGCAAGGTTTTCGTCGTCACATCTTAGCTGCTGATACTGGTTTGAGCGCGCTTTAGCTTGTCGGAGGTTGGTTTCGACGACAGATGGCTGAGCATCTACTGATAATTTCGCCGTTTCGTGAGCATGCAGGTAAATGACTTGACTCTGCGCATTATGGTATGCCACTTGAATGTTCAAGGAAGGACGCTTTTAGAGGAGGTATAGTCGTGACTTATGCTCAACTCGCACACTGGGTAAGATGCCTAAGGGTCAAATAGTCTGAATTTTCCTTGCCTTAACCGAAACTTGAGGCTCATTGACGAGCAAAGCCAACCACGTCGGGCCTATAAGCTTCTTATGCACATCAAGTAAAGTAAACGATATTGACCGATCGGTCCCAAAGTTACATATTTCGAGTCCATGATACCACCGAAGTTCTCTGTTGGCCAGTCTAGACTTCGTTCTTACTCGTCTTTTTTTCTCCTACTATACCTTCTCCATGCATTCCTGCCCTCTCCTTCCCAATTTGATGATCGTGCTCCTTTTTCACAGTCCTTAACAGCCAGAACTGATATATTATTACGAGCAACCCACAGATGACCGCTATCACCCCTGTTACGATAATTGTCGACTTTGCTGTCGCCCCAAACACGCCGGCCTGGGCGCCGTAGACGCTGGTGAGCGTTGAAATGATGCCAGTAATAGAGTTGAGAAACCCCGGGCTGATGTGCGAAAAAAGATCAGGCGAGTTAGATATTTCGAAAGACGACACTGACACAAAGATGCGGTTGGTGATCCAGATGTAATTGTTCTGCCATCTCCACCACAGCCAGATCATTCCGATCGCGCCAATCGCCGTGCACACCCAGGCAATAACGTATCTTCCGCCGATGCACCGTCCGTTAGTGTGTTTGTCGTTTATCCAAACGAATGGACTCACAAGGGAATGTCGTCGACTATACTTAAAATCTGCTTCTCAGTGTCTCCGGCAGGCTGGTTTCTCCAAGATGCGAATGTTCCAGGGAAAAGCACAAAGCCAGCGAGCAAGATCCAGGTGAAAAATGATGCAAGCAAGTTAAAGAGCGGCGGGATATCGTCAAGTGCGAGGAGCATGTTCACATAGCGTGTCTGTGTCTGGCTGCTAAGATTAGCGGGCAAAGCCGGTCGCTGGGTTGTATGGTGGATGTCCTTTGCGGCGGGTGTAGGAGCTGGCGCACTAACATGAATTTCTTTCGATTTACTAATTGAGTGTGCGGTGGCGGTTGTAGCGGCGGTTGTAGAAGGAGTGATGTTAGGACGGGTATGGGATCTTGATCTTTCCTGCGATCCTGATGAGATGCTAGGACGGGTGTGCGGCCTCGATCTTTCCTGCGATCCTGACAAGATGTTGGTAGGGTTGCTCCCAGCACGATCAAAACCGGCAGTTTCCCCTGGAGGTTGCGATGCCACATTATGGTTCTTTGGGAGTGTGGCACTGGTATTGAAGGAGGTTCGCGACACATTCAAGGTGGTAGAGCTACTCTGATTATATGCGGGCTGGGTGATGCTCGACGCATACCGGTGCGATGCAGCACTTGGACGGCGCGAGCGCGAGCGGTGACGGGTGCTATGGTGCGAATTATTGGAGTGATGACCACCCTGCGGGGAAGCCTCAGAGCCGCTGTAGGAAGTGTGGTGCGTAACCTGTGTTGCACTCGCATTCCAGTAGGATTGCTGATGCATATTCTGATATAATTCTTGGTGTGCCATAGCTGTCCCCTGAGGTGGCGTGAGCGTGACGTTCTGCTGCCGGGGAACCAGGAAGGCCGTCGTGTTGAGCACTGGGTTGGACGGCTGTGGGATATCTTTGATTAGCGAATCTTGTGATATTCTGATACTACCTTGCTTCGAAGAGCTTCGCTGGTGTCCCGAGCTCTGTGGGGACGATGGGCGTGCAGGTAGCGGCTTTGACGCAACTAATGGAACAGCCCCGGCTGGAGAGCTCGACGTCTGATCTTGCGCGGGAGATGACTCGGGATGAAGAACAACTAGAGTATCAGTTTGCTCGACAGAAGAGCTTTGCGAAGGGATTCGTTGTAATATGCCGCTCAGACCGCTGATACCCAGAGGCACAGGCTCGGTATTGCGCCGTGCTGGCGCAGGCCATTGTAGTGTATATGGAGAAGATATATGTGAGTGGCCGGGATCGCTCCGCGTGCGTGAGCGCTGTCTAGACGGTCGTCCAGATGTATGATAACCACTGGAAGAGGTATACATGATTGAAGCGTGATTCCGGTGGTCGTCTGGAGGAGATGTGGATCACAATGTGAATGTCAGCAAGACTGCGGGCTCCCGCTGTCTACTTATGTATATGGCCTTGTTCTCACTGGCATTATCAGCACACCGCATGGTATTTTGCTCCGAGCGCCGTCGGAGCTCACGTGGTGATGACTATCAGTGGCTAAGGGGCACTGCAATCCTAGTAAGTATGTAGGCCACAAGTATGTAGCCTCCACTGTCCAGATGCAGCGGTCGCGCCACACGGCCATGGCGCTCCATATATGGGTAAATGCGGACCCCTATGAGCATACAGCGGTCACGTAGACGACACTACCAGTACTGAAATGAGTGCATATGCTTTCATAGATTTAGTCAAGTCCATATTCATCCAATAATGCACGTTGTTTATAACTAGAACGTCCCGAAATGACAGATGATCACCAACTCATTTAAACTGTGGTTCAGTCCGGGCACTCCTTCAAGCTCTAAAGTGTGGTCAAACTGATCCCCTGCGCCTGAATATTTACCAGATATAACGTCTCTTCATCAAGGATGACAAGACCGGACTTCGTGAACATCATCTCAGCGGTTGTGCTATTAAGATAAAATTTTCCGATGAGGGTTCCTCTGGAGTTCCAGACGTGTGTCCCTTCCCCACAACCTGAATAGACATTGCCCAGCGTGTCGAGCTGGATACCGTCCGGGACACCGGAGTCCGCGTACGCGAACACACGGCGGTTCATGAACGACTGAGTTGCTGGGTCAACATCGTATTGGTAGCTATCAGAAGGGGTGATGGAAGGTCGTCAATGATGAAGAGCAGAGAATCAGGTGTGAAGCTTACATCGTGGCAGGAAGTGTCTGATTTGTTCCAAGAAATCCTCCCGAAATACCTGTGTCAGTGCTATGGAGGTCTTGTAAGATCGTTTACGTTGTTTGAGAATAAATATTACTTACACGAATGCAGTTCTGCCATCTGGCGTAAAGGCGATACCATTCGGGTGGACAAACTGATCTGCGATAACCCGGACTTCGCCTGTCGACGGATCAAAGCGATAGACCTGCGAAGGGAGCATAGGTTCAGGACGGAAGCCGTTCAACCAGCCATAACTAAATTAAAGGTCAAGCTCGATATTTCTTCCACGCTTGAGTAGTTGACTTACGTGGGATCTGTGAAGAATATAATGTCGGTGCCAGGGAGCACCTTGACGTCATTCAGGGAGTTGAACTGCCTGCCGTAGAAATTGTCAAGAAGGACAGTGGCGTTATAGGGGGGATTGGGGTTAACGAGTACGATCGAGGGAGGTAGAAGAGCGCGTCCTGAAGTGACCAGAAGCAAGTTGCCCTTATAAGGTCCAGTACCTCCATTGACCATCTGTACTGTGTCCGAAAGGTTGAGCTGACGAAAATGTGAGTTGATACGCCCTTTTACATGTGGGTCGTTGCTTACCGTTTGCACTTGGATGTTGACATTTCCCGTAGTGGAGGCGAGGGCAATGTCGACTTCCGTCATATTGATCATACTAACGACGCTGTTGTTGTACCAGCCGTTATACCCAAGAGGACCGCCGTCATTACTTGAAAAGAAGAGGACGTTAAGATCCGGGACATATACTGGTGCTTCATGTGCGAAGGCGAAGCCAGGATTGGAAGCGATAGAGCGAATTGTTGCGCTGGGACCCAGTACATTGAGGAAAGAGGGGTCGAATATTTGGATGAAAGGCGAGGTAGTGTTTGTGGGATTGAACCCTTCAATAGACGAGTTGCGCCATTGAGTGTAATTGGCACCAACGACATTATACTCTAGGGGATCAATGTACTATTCAAAGCGTCGGCATCTCCAGAAACAATTCACAAATACTCGAGCCACATACCACGGCTCCAGGGGGGACTGAGAGGCCTGGAGAACTCCATGCATGAGCTGCAAGAGCGATTGCCAATACTGGGAGGGCCGTTGCAATTGCATTCATCGCTCGTTATAACGTCACTGTAATCTCTTGGTCTTTCAACACACCGCCTTTCTCGATGGTAATCGGGGAGCAAGACCAGAAGCGAGCGCCAGTAAGAAACAAACTCAAGTCTTATACCTAGGGAGATTCTCGCTTTTATCGTCCGTTGTGGTACAACACCTGGTATTCGGAAACGGGTAGCCGAATTGGTATACGGTATTGCAGGTGAAACGTCGCCTGACCTAGTTGACCGCTGATCGTGGGGATGCATCCTCAGAAGCACCCATTTTTTCTCCATGGGCTGATCTATCCCAAGAGCGTTCTAAATTCATGAGTCTCGAGAGGTTTATGATCATGATGAAATAGCTACATTTGTTTTGCAACACCCATCCAAGGGCATGAAGGCAATTTGAAGCGTTCTAAATTCCACATCGACGTCGGAAAACCTAGGAGGACCCTAGTAAGGCTTCGAGGCTGTTCCTGTGGTCGCCTCATGCTAATGCCAAAATAACACTTACATGGTCCGCTCAATAGGCGCCATGACAGTATTGAGTCAAGTGATCATGACTTCGAAAGCCTTGGCATATGAATTTGAACGATCTTCAAAACATCTCATTGATTTTTCACTAAAGCCGTTGGTAAGACGAGTTACTCTTCGTACATCCTCGCAGCTCGGCATTCGATCATTATCATCGGCCTGCAATTGGTAAGAGGGAGAACAGAACAGCAAGTTGAGAAAAACAAAGCCGTCTTCAAGGCGATGCTCGCGACTTCAAGTAACCAACGAGTCAAACGGAACTTCCACAACGTACCGATGCCAGTGGGACACCTATTGGCTAAACAAACAAGAGAAAATTCGCAAACGTTGTATTTACTAGATGCTACTGCAGTTCCTCGGGAGTCTGGAAAATGTATGAGAATTGGCAGAGGACCAACCGAGCGTGTGTGAGGACTTGGCACGCTCTCAAATTGGCGGCCTGCTGAGCACAATGCCAGTAAATGCGAATACTCTTCTATCTTCGTTGATATTTTTGCCACAGAAAAGACAGTAGTTTTATGTTTTGAGGCATCAAGACGTTTGAATGTTGTATCCTCTGTGACGCTGAATAGAAACTCAGAGCGAGGTCGGAGGCGACTCAGTGGAAGAAGGGCAGCCGGCGCCAATTGTGTTACCACGACTTACCCAGCACTTGCCATGATAAACTTACACTCTCTGCACGACGACGTCCTCTTCATCGTCTTTTCACACATCTTGCCAAATGATGCAGTTTATCTATCGACCGTCTCACGTCGACTCCTCCCCTTCGCTAGGCGTCGCTCCGTGGAAGAACTCGTCCTACACGCTAGCACCGCACATAAAGTTTGCACATATATGTTGGCCGACGTTCCTCGACGAACTTACTTCCTGCGAGCATTGACGATAGAAGACGACATGTTCGCCGCATGCAAAAACAATCCGCCGTGTATGTCCGCACTTTTAGACCTTCTTCGACAGGCAATCGGCCTCAGATTCGTCTCCATCTTCATGGCTGATGATCTAATCCAATTGGATCCATCCTTGGGACATACCTTTGCTTCGTTGGGGCGACTGGAGAAGGTAGAACTGCATCTAGTTGGTCCAGCCGCCATTCAAATCCTCAGCGAAATGCGAAGTGTCCCACGCAAGCTTACGATAATGACTCTGAGGAGAGTAACATTTTGGAAATGTCCACCGCTGGCTAGTGTCCGCAGTCTTACTTTGAGCTACGGTGCTTGTGACACTGAGTCAGAGATGAGCGGCTCACCCTTCGATGATTTGACATTATCTGCCGCAATACCTCAATGGTCTTCTCTCGATGATCTCACAGTTCTGGATAGCGTCATTTCCCTGACCCTCTTTTCGCGCGCATTTCCTCGACTTCGCCGATTGCAACTGGTAAACTGCACATGGTTTCCACACACCCAGTCTCCAGAGTGTTGGGCTTCTTTGGACTACTTGCGAATGTCCGGAGTATTTGACAGTCTCGTTCATTGTTATGTCGCGTGTCGCGTACACCATATCTACCTCGACTGGCCCCTATCCATTTCTGTCCTGAGTGATGTCCTGTACCTTGTCAGAAAGACCTCTCCGCTCGTCCTCACACTTTCAGTTGGTCTATATCCAGATCTTGGCTCAAGATTCTGGGAAACTCTGGTCGCCTCGGCTCCGAGGTTGCGATGTCTAGTCATTAAGGTGTCATACTACGAAGAGTCTCATCATTGCATATGTTCCTGGGTGGTGAATTAGACTTACGCACTTTCTGGCCCTCAAATGTATCACTCATGATTATTTTCCAGGATGACCTCAGCCAACGACTCAATCTTGCGGGTCTAACATGCATTCAAGTGCGTGTCGTTGACGCATTATACCAGACATGGGAAGTCTCTCTCCTTCGGCCGTGTCTGGAGCGATTGGCAGCGCGTATCCCTACCGTCCGCTACTTGGCTATCAGGATCAATTACCCACATGACAATGGAAAATGTTGGTGGTGGCAGGTAACTGCCGCTGGACTGAATCGAAAACTAGAAGCTATTCCTAGGGAGACAGGAAACCAGATTCTAGGTTATATACGAAGTCCTCTGTTCGATGAGCAGAGACTGCATGGTTCGTTTCGTTTTCTCATAGATGTTTCATTCCACTGACCTATAGGTCGTAAATGCGCTCGTCTGCATCAGATCTCACTCCTCCGCGCCGGGGACAAGACGTAGAGCGAGAGGAAGTTTCCTTCTACTATTTCAAAACACAATGAATCTTGGTAAATGTTAGAGTTGTAAGTCAATCACAGAATATCAAGCTATCTCAATAAGTTACAATGCGCAGGATAGTTTACAGACTGGACACTTCACCCCCGAGCACACGCAGGAGTCTGATTGGCCGCTTCTGGGCGCTTATCGTGCCCCACATGCAAGTCCGGGTACAGTGTGCACTCACATCTGCCGCCAGCCACTGCCCCGTCGGTCGGCGGTCGACGTCGCCATGCGTGAATATTCGAATGGCCTTGCTTACTTTGCCCCCACCTCGCCCCGCTAGGCCGATTTGCGTGGCTCTCAGTTAAATACCCCCATCTCGCCTCCTTATCAGCATCGAACCTTCATTCAAACTCGCATCTAACCAACTTCAGCTAGAATCATGTCACCACCTCTCTCTGGAAAAGTTGCCATCGTTACGGGCTCGTCGCGCTCGATTGGCGCCGCCATCGCTCAGCAGCTCGCAGCCGATGGCGCTGACATCGTGGTCAATTATGTCTCCAACCCCAGTGCCGCCGCTTCCGTTGTGAAATCCATCAACAAGGCCAGCATTGGCAAGGCTATGAGTGTGCAGGCCGATGTAGGGTCCAAGGGCGGTGCACAACGGCTTATTGACGAGGCCGTGCGAGTGTTCGGCAAACTCGACATCCTTGTCCTGAACGCAGCGATCATGGACAACGCACTTCTAGCAGATGTCACTGAAGAGGACTACGACAAGCACTTCAACACCAATGTCAAGGCTCCGTTGTTCATGATCCAGGCTGCTGTGCCTTTGATGAAGGATGGTACGCACCCTCGTGTTGGCTTGTCACTCGATTGAATCAGCTGACCGTTTCGTTAGGCGGCCGAATCATCATGCTGAGCACGTCGCTCACGCACAACTCTGTCATCCCTGCCAACTATCTCTTGTACGCTGCCACCAAGGGCGCGATTGACCAGATGACTCGTGTCCTTGCGAAGGACCTTGGATCGCGCGGGATCACTGTTAACGCCATCGCGCCTGGTCCGATCGACACTGACCTATTCCGGAACGGCAAATCGGAGCAACTCATCAATTTCCTCGCGAATGGACACCCAGCGAAGCGCATTGGGCGACCAGATGAGATCAGTCCCATCGTTGCGTTCCTTGCAAGCGGGCAGGCTAGTTGGGTGAACGGTCAAGTGATCATGGTGAATGGGGTGAGTGTTATGCGCGTTCCCTAGTATGCGATGACGGCTGAAACGTCTGGTACGTCTCCAGGGGTACACCGTGTAGTCAGGATCTAGGGTATAGCGACATGCTGGGTCTATCTGGGGTTGGTTCTGATTGAGACTATATCTGGCCTCGCATTTCATCATGCAGCGCAAGCTTAGAGAGCACTGACGGCCTGAAGTCGGTATTTCCTGGACGACTACACGTTAGGGGTGTGTTTTAGCCAACCTATATCACGTTCAATCCCGTACAATGCAATGCACAAATTTTAACTTGGACTCACTACCAGTCTCCGTCGCTTTTTGTAAGGTTACGCGGTCTTCAACCAGTCTTCACTTCTGATGCCGATTATATTGTGAACATCTTTTGGACGAATTTCTGATGCCAAGCCGTTTGGAACAGCCAAAATGAAGCGGCCTTGGCAGGCCGACTATGACTACGACTCATCTCATAGAACTTGCATGCATCTTGGTCAGTCATAGCATTGATGTTGGCGCGACGAACTTAGCGATAGCCTTCAAGGGTCTGGAATCTTTTACTTTTTGCCTAGTCAAGGCCGAACCGGAAGCTCACGACGAGACTTGTCAGTTATCGTTAGTCACTCGACGCAAAACATTGTTGGCGAAGACTGTCGGTGAGGACCATTATCTGGCCATATGGTTAAGTGGTCAAGCCTGCATTCAAAAACATAAATACATACGTTGGCGTTACCCATGTTCATTGTGATGCAACCTTTAAGGACTTCGAAAGGTTCAGAGTCTTGAATTCCATCGTTGATCCTATATCCCCCAAGACTCGTACGGTAACTTTTGCATCAGGTACGACGGAGGACTCTAATCCAAGCTCATTACCATGATTTTTTCACAAAAATTAGGCAAAGACATGTACATAGGTCCGAAATATCAAAATGGAATTTTGACTAGAGGTGTCGGCGATCAATTCGGTGACGACCGCGTGACAAAACTGAGGCCTGAACTTTTCTCACAGCACGAGACGCGACGGCATCGTCATGCGCACAGGGCCGTCTTGGCGCAGGGCGATCAAGTAGGGCCAAGCAATCCAGGTGTTTAAGGTGTTTTGCCTCTGACTCAAAGTGCGACGAGCTTTGGTATGTTCAGCCTTACGTGCGTTTGAAGCACACAGGCCTTGGGGACCCGCGCGCAATTCCGCTGGACCAATACGTAGATGGCAGGAATCGCTTCGAGCTTCACAGGGGGATCCCCAACTTCCAAGGAACCTCAGGCCGTCGTCGATCATCGATTGGATGTAATCACAGCCGACGCTGCCTCGCGCTCGCGCATGGAATCGAGCTGAACAGCTTGCGACGACGTCCGTCATATGTCCATAAATCCTGGTGTGGAATTTAATCCAACGCGAGTCAAAAATCCACTCCTGTCCACCCGAGTGAAAATGCCGAACGAAGATGCACCACTTGGCGGAGGTTTGCAATGCTACAGCATCGCTCGGGTAGTATGTTTCATCTACTTTACGTGGTTATCACCACCGCGGCACCGCATCACCAATTGTGAGGAGTTCAATTATGCATGCGGGTTCAAGCTACAAGCTGAAACATTCGACGCAGCCGCGCCGGACAGCCTCTTGTCCGTATAAAAACCGAGCTCCTTTATTTTTCATGGCTTTCTTCAGCCCCTCAGTTGATCTGTGCGAGCCAAGCTTCCCAAGTTCAGGTACTGGATAGTGAGCATCTTCGATCTCCATGCTATCCGCAGGTTTATTCAATGCCGGCCTCTAGCTTGTCTTGTTTCGTTCTTTTGCAGCTTATTCGTAACGACAACTTTCTTTCGTTAACCCCACTCTTCACGACTTCGTTTTGAATACCACCTCACGACATCGATATGCGTGCCATTACTGTATTTGCTATTGCTGCTGCCGTTGCTGCACCCGTCTTCGTCAGGCAAGTGTGTCTTCGCAACTTTCTTTGTTAAGATTGCTTATTCATTGCTCCTCATAGCGCCGCTCCCTCTCCATACCGTGTCGCTATGGTTGCGCGGGAGTTGGCTACTCGCGCTGAAGATGAGCGTGGGCAAGGTCTGGAAGAGGAGGGTCGCTTTTCGGACCACTATGAGCATATCCACCACCCCGGAGAATTCCACGATGAGAACCATCGTCACCACCATCTGGACCGTCGCTTCCGTCATCCAAGGCCCTGGACCATGAAGGACCAAGCTCGAATGTTTTCGGTGACGCATCCCATGCACAGGCGCTCAAGCCGCGAGGATGGGGAGTTCCGCGAGGATGAGGAAGAAGACCACCGCCGCGGCGAGGGCAGACACCGCCACCACCATGAGGAGGAAGGCCGCCGTTACCACGAGGGCAAGTACCGCCACCACTACAATGAAGAGGAAGGCCACCGTGACTACGAGGGCAAGTACCACCACCACAATGAGGAGGAAAGTCGTCGCCATCACGAGGGCGAGCGCTTTCACCACCAGGAGCACGAGGAGATGGAGAGGCACCAGCGCGCTTTCTTCGCCCGTTCCCTACTTGACATGGTCGACTAGGCGGGGTGCGCGTAGTATTATCTATGTTGTCGGTAAGATGTCGATGTCGAGTACAATTAGTTTACGATTTACGAATAAGTTGGATTTGCCGGGGGCGCTCATTAATCTGGTGTGAACGTCTTTAGTCGTTGACGACGACAGATTTCCCCCCCCGAGACATGAGGCCCTAGGGATCACAGTTTGTCTTGCAAATTTCATGCCCTAGGCAACTTGTCGGCCGTGCGTTAACCATTTGATCAGGATGTTCTGAGGGTCAGTCTGCGACCGTCCGTTGCTAGGTAGTGGCACTCATCTCGATCATACTATGCATTTTGTTCCACACACTCTTCCAACCGGTCTCTCTTCCGAGGTAACTACACGTGAAGGAAAGAGTATTTTTACTGTACCTTTCAGCGTGAGAGGTGCCCATCGAGAAGCCATTCCCGTGAATCTCCACACGGAGGAATTGAGATCAAACCGAGATACCAAGATAGAATCTAAGCTACAGGTGGTGGGAATCGGCTCGATAACTCGATTCGGATATAAACGTCCGTGCGAGTTCGATCGCCCGTACGAGTTCGTGATATAGCTAATACCCTCAAAAGTCTGCGAGAGATGCGTTCAACCTTTACTCATGCAAGTGGGTTCGTAGCTGCATCATTGACACTAGTTGACCACATGATGACTTCGGCAATATTGACTATGAGGATGACACTGCCAAACTTAGCGACATCTATAATATAGAGGGTATATCAATCATTGCGAAAAAAAAAAACCGATACCGTGACATGTGTACTTTACCTGAAGAGAAGGCGGCACAGGATTTTTCCGCATGATACTGTGAAGACCATATGTCATCGACAAGCATTGCTGAAAGACGAATTGTTTATGCTCACGATGTTGTTACCGGCTGGTAATGCTTCGAGTATCAATCAAGGTGACCAGGAGCAACACGCGATCTCCATCGCTGACTGCGAACGCTCGCAATGCATGGATGTCTAATTAAAATAGCCAATCAAACGAAATCTGATGCAAGATAGTACGCGGCTCACCCGCTTCTGCAATATATAATATAACGGACATCAGAGGTTGACGACCTGTGCATGTCTTTGATATGAGGTCAAGACATTCAATTTACCTACAGACCATACCGAGAACTGCTACATATTCGCATATCTCTGGTGAACAGAAACACATGTAAAATCAACAAGATACTTGCTCTTAGGGCTCCGCGGCTGATAGGTAACGATGTAAAATCAACAAGATACTTGTTCTTGTGACCTTCCATCTTTAGACTAGCTGCACTTCTTGAATAGATATGAGAGATCAATTGTAGAAGAGACCGTCGCGGGCAATGATACATGGCCATTAACATTTGTGGCTAGGCACCAACCAAGACAGATTCACGATTCATACTCACAGCAAGATAAGATGATCAAGTACCCAATTCTCTCAATGCTGCACCTCTCAGATCTGTAGCAAAGAGATGAACACACCACAATGCATATCTACACGAGACAAGTGCTCTGGCCTCTCAATTGATAGAAGCTCGTGACCCATCAAAACAAGAGCGAGGGGTACAGGGTATGGAATCCCCTTTACCGAGCTTCCTATACACTTGCTTATAGGCGAGTACTCCGCGCGAAACCTACACAATAATGCCGTAGAAAATTCGCGAGGCTGTGGCTAGTAGCCAAGACGAGGGAACGCTACTGACGCTGATGAATATCCAAGTTGGTCATCTTTGAACCCTTGATGAGTATTCGAGTGAGTCAAGATACTCGGATACTCATCAGTGGTCTTAGATAGCCACTGGAACATCTCGGGAGACTTTGAGGGTCTTGTCTTCATGATGACGGCGAACAACAATTTTAACGGGTGGACGAGCCTGCGACCGAAGTAAGAATTTCGAAGCCGGAACAGACGGATATAATCGTGGGAGGCAGTAACCGGGCTCATGTGATGTCCCTACAACACGACTGATTACTTGTTCGACGCCGTAATACGAGAAAAGCAGCGCCAATGCATCCTGAGGGGAAGTACCTTCCTTCAGTCCGCGGAACGCATCTCACAACTGCTTGGCCCGGATGCATCTTGCCCGCTTGCCGCGTTATCATCGTCTGCTTCGTCTGCAATGTTGTCAACGCCGCTCGATCCCGTCCAAGGCATGCCATGATCCAACGTGGCCGCCATATTCCCGATCACGAGTGTGGTCATATCGAGGGATGTGGCAAGCGCCGTGTGACCATCTCCGTGCGCCTCTTCACGAAGATTGAGGTAGAAGCGGGAGGTCAGTATAACCATCGCACTGAACAGTCAAACTCTAGCTCTCAGCAGAGGGTCGTGAGCATGATAGCAAATGCACAGCATACGTGTCAGTTACGGCGCTCATGCGCAAATTATACTGTATTCAATCTTCATGTCAACTCAATCGCATTCGTTCGCTAGACAAACCGAACAGATGACGCACCCCGGACCACCAGAAGACGACCTGGCACACATTCAGTGTCAAAAGGACGCTAAACTCGACGGCAATCATGATAAGAGCTATTCGCGCTATGCAGCGGACCTACAGAAAATGGATTATATCTACAAATGAGCCGTGGTACAATCAGCTCAGATTACTGAGAATAAACAGAAATCATGTACCGTCTCTTACGAGAAGCTTAAACAAAGAAGACCGCGCGGCCGGTCTACCCCAACAGCCGAGTGCAGCACGAAGAGTAACCCCCAAAATTAGAGCCACTGATATTATGGTGCATACCCGGGTAGTCGTGACCACTGGTAAAAAATATTGACATCGTCAGCAGTCCCCGACGCGAGACGGCAACTAAAAATTACGTCTGCAGTCGCATTTAAATCCAAGATGATCTCGTCAACACACGCGTTGACGGAGTAGCGGATCCCAATGCGTACTTTAATCGGATAGACAGAGGCAGCGTGCTAAGCTCCTCGATCGCAGGAATCGCATCGCATACACCCGTCACAGAGTCATACTAGCGCAGTCAGCGCAATCGCGGTCTCGACAATAGACCAAGGTGCGACAGCTCACCATGATGGTAGCAGATGGCACGGCGCCGAAAAACAGGATCATTGAGCATGCGACGTGGTCGCCGCCACTTATCCCATATGCGCGTAAAGCGTGGAACGCTATCGGACACTTCGTCAGTGCCCCTTCACAGTACGGGAAAGTCTGGTCTGACCTGCCCATATGAGGTACATAGAGGACCGCACACCGGCGTGGACTTGATTGTACCATCTGTCGTTGGAGAGGGCTCAACATTTGCTCGAAGATGGAGTGGTAACTCGAACCTCAACGTCGCACAACTGTGAGTCAAACCTAGGGCGGCGCTGAAGAGGGTAATGGTGGGAAGAACCAGAGATACATAGCGATTGAGAAGGAACAGGACGCTTGCGCCGAAGATCCTTCGCCTCCATACAAGATGTACCTCTTGGCTAAGCGTCAAGACGTAGTCGTAAAGAATGAGGACTTAGTGCAATCAAAGTGCGGTGACGGTTAATGGGTAAATCCACCACATCGCGAGGACTCACAGGAGCAAGCAAACAAGTAGTAATTTGAATAACCCTGTTCGGCGCTGCTGGATAGCGTCAACACTAGACGCCGCTGCCGCAAAAGACTGATACTGACACAAATATTTCCGGGTCGTTCTCCATCATTCGGACTCTGAAGAGTACAACAACACCAAGGAGGGAGTCGGCAACCGGAAGGGCAGAGAAAACAGGCTATCCAGGTCCTGAAGGTGGCCCTTACGGCCACGTGCATGTACTTCACGGTACTCGAGTCGGACCCATTGAATGCACGTATAGGTAGCCCTGGAAACGGGTCAACTGGGCGCGACTGCTCGGAAGAACTGCGACATTGCGACCTAGACCCATCGACACGCAGCGCAACCCGACTGACAAGCAGTCGCAATAACTGGCTGATATATTGTGTTCTAGACATCACCATTGACCAAAGGGTACAGCCAGGCAAACTCCAATGAACCGCTGAAGGACAAAGCAGTGACTGGCAGAGTAACTCACACGTAGCCACAAGCCTGAGCCACCTCTTCTCTTTACTTTCCCACACCGACTATGCATGTGGATTCGTCTATGGATTCAATTACTTTTGCGCTCGTAAATTACATGATGGTATGGGGCAATGCGATGACGGATGGTACCGCACGTCGTAGGGGGCGTACGTGAATAAGCGGAACACAAGTCATAATGGATACAGAAGGGAACGTGATCGACGTCCGAAACGCCAGGCGATAGGGAACTGTACTCGTGGGTGCCAACGAATGTGAGGGTATAGAGAGTGGTCACCGTAAAAGTAATGGCTCCTCTTAAATATCACCGGCGCACGGCTATCTGATCCCGCCAGTCTATGCAGCAGCAGTGCGAGACGGGTTGCGCGCGAGCGTGGCGCCCGCGTGCTGAGCCTGCATGCTGCTGAATCGTTGAAGCTCCTCGGGCTTCATCGAAATCTTGGAGCCAAAGCCAACCTTGCGAGCAGCGCGACGAATGAACGAGACACGGTTGGAGTATAGCGACTCATGGACAGATGCAGCGCGAGATTGGGTACGAGTGACAGGAACACCAGTGCTCTCGGACTTCGCAGCTTGAGCCTTCGCCGCATTGTGGCGTTCACGGAGACTCTTGATAATTGTCGCCTTCATCGCAAACTTGATCCAGTCGAGGGGGACAAACCAAATGATATCCTGCAGCCCAAAATCAGTAAAAGGACACAATCAAACACGTAAAAGACTTACCCAAACCCAGACAATACCAACCCAGCCACCAGAGATACCCTCAATCTGAGTGAAGCCCCAGTCTGCGTATACGGCGATGATGGTCGATACAAGCTGAGCAATGCAGAACGCTCCCATTAAAGCGAATGACGGACGCTCCATGAAGAAGAATCCGTGCGAACGCGTGACGAAGATCAATGCCTGCGAGATGATGGCAACCTGGAGGTAGACAATGGAGTGAAGTTGAGGATCGTTGTGATCAGTAGCCATGGTAGCGCCACCGTGGAACGTCACGCCAAACTTGCGGTAGAAGAAGTCGGTCTTGATGCAAATAGCGACCAGAGCAATCCTATACAGTTATTCAGCAACAACAGCCAACAACAGCGGCAGAATCACTCACGTTGACAGCGTCAGGTACAAGCCATAGGCAACAGCGTACGAGAAGATCTCCGCAAGATCCCAACTATCCGGAGTGTTCGATGGCAAGACACGATCGACGGAAAGTGTCATGATAGTACCGTCATTGAGTAGGGCAATGATCAGGACCATGAATGGCGGGAAGTCGAACTTGAAGGCAAAAGCGAGAATAGCAAAGCAAACAACGATACGGATGGTGACAGCGCAGGCGTAGATCGAGTAGTTCCTCATACGCTGGAAGATGATACGAGACCCTCGGATAGCGTGCACGATCGTCGAGAGTCCAGGCTCAGTCAAGACAATATCAGCTGCACCACGGGCGGCATCAGTGGCACCCTCAACGGCAATACCAACGTTAGCGCGGGACAGAGCGGGAGCATCGTTGGCACCGTCACCAGTCATAGCGACCAGATGACCAAGACCCTGAAGACGCTTGACGATCTCGTACTTGTGCTCGGGGAAGACACCAGCGAAACCGTCGGCGTCAAGAATCATCTCGTCAAGCGATCCGTGCTTGCCTCCGGGCTCAGGTCCATCCTTCAGCACCTTGGCGGGGTACATGTGATCACCGAGGCCAAGACGACGACCGGTCTCCTTTGCAATGGCGAGCTGATCACCAGTAACCATCTTGACGCGAACACCGAGAAGGATAGCATCGTCAATGGTCTGCTTGGTGTCAGTACGAGGAGGGTCGAAGATGGGGAGCAGACCGATGAGTTCAAAGCCATTACCCTCGCCCTCGTGGTCGTCATGGTCAAGTTCCTCGTAAGCGACAGCAAGGGCACGGAGACCACGGACAGCAAACTCCTCAACGTCAGCCTCAAGACGATTCTCGATCTCGTCAGTCTTGTTGCGAGTGCACAGTTCGATGATGATACCGGTCATACCCTTGGTGACGCGCTTGAGACGGCCACTGGACTCCTCGCGATAAGTGATCTCCGTGCGCTTATCAACAGGGTTGAACGGCTTGAAGTCGAGAAGCTTGATACCGGCGCGAGCACGGGAAGTGTCACCAAGAGCACCAACAACGCAAGCATCGATGGCATCCTGGTTCTCCGTACGGGACGCGTACGCAGCAAGGAGGATAACATCCTCGGCGGTGAAGGGGCCATACGTGCGGACAGTCTCGCGATCGATAGTAAGCTTGTTGGTCGTAAGCGTACCCGTCTTGTCAGAGCATAGGATAGTGACAGCGGCCAACTCCTCGATAGCAGTAATACGGGTGACGATGGCCTTGTACTTCGCGAGCTGCTGGGCACCGACGGCGAGCGTGACCGAGAGGACAGTGGGCATGGCAATTGGAATACCTCCGATCAGGAGCACCAAAATGTCATTCAGACCGCGACGGTAGTTGTAGCGGAAGCCGGCATACAAGCAGAAGATTTCAGCAATGACGAATATACCGATGGAGATGAGACAGAAGGAGCCGATTTGCGCAAGAATCTTCTGCAAGTGACCAGTGGTATCATCGTCTTGACCGACAAGGGACGCAGCGCGACCGAAGAACGTGTTGGCGCCGGTGGAGATAACGACACCCTCAGCCTCACCCTGCTTGCAAGTGGAACCGCTGTGCACCAATCATTAAGCCCAAATCGCAGGTGCATGTATAAAAATTCACTTACGAGAAGCACTGATCCCCATTCTTCTTACTTTGAGGCAGAGACTCACCAGTCAACGCAGCTTGGTCGATCGAGACGTTGATAGCCTCAGTGAGACGGCAATCGGCGGGGACGATGTCACCAATCTTGAAAGAGACCATATCACCGGGCACCAACTCTGCAGACTCGATTTCCTTCCACTGACCGGCGCGCTTAACCTTGGCTTTGGGGGCGAGCGAGTCCATCAAAGCCTTGACAGCGTTACCAGCATTGCGCTCCTCGTAGAAACCGATGAACGAGTTGATGAGCAAAAGCGTGACGATACCGACGAAATCCTCCCAGTCCGGAGGCTGGCCTTCACCGTTGGACAGCACGATAGCGACCAGGGCGGCACCTTCCATGACCCAGGAGAGTGGATTCCACATGAACGAAAGGAACTAAGGACATACGTCAGTGGCGTGGGCCACCAAACTAAATACGGACAATGCGTACCTGAAGGAAGGCATTCTGCTCCTCAGCCTCGAGCCTGTTGGGACCGAATAGCTCCAGACGACGGGTAGCCTCCTCAGCCGAGAGACCGTTCTCATCGCACTGGAGGAGCTTGAAGACGTCCTCAACGACGATGGTTTCCAGATCGACCTTTTCCTTGTCATATAGATCCTCGGCGCGCAGCTGGATCTCCGACATGTCAACCTTGGCGTCTGAGGAAGGTAAAGGTCAGCTGGGTGTACGGGTGAGACTGGTGAGAGCGGTACGGACGGGTAGCTTTTTCCTCCTCATGGCCAAAATCCTTGTATTCTCTCTTCCTCTTTACCGGCTCCTCGGTGGGGGAGCTGGGGTTGTCTGTATCTTTGACTGGCTCGGTGGAGCCAGCCTCCTTCTCAACGGGAGATGACATGGTGAGGAGGGTAAAGGCGAGAGGGGAACGTAGGGAAAACCCTAGGGTGTTCTAGCGGGTCGCTGGCGCGAAGGGGAAGAGGCGGACAGCAACAACTAGCGGACACAGAGGTTGGATGGAAAGGAGGATGGGCCCGTCAACCGCGCCGTCGCGTCTTATATTTGTCTCAGGCCAGCGTGAAGAACATCAGTCTGCCAAACAGAGCACAACAGAGGGTTGCCGCGCTGGCCGCGAATCGAGATCGTGCCATTCCTGGAGTCGAATTGGTCCGGATTGGGATCAAATCCCGAGGCGCCCGTGTGGTTGTCTGTCTGCGTGGATTGTGCTGCAGCCGTCTGCGACTCGCTCAGTGGTTGCTCGGGAGTCGACGGAGACTGTCCGCGACAGTCGGGCACCCCACACAGCTTGCAGTAAGTACGACGACATGCCACAGCTCAGTTCCTCCGACAAAAACCCTTTCGGCGGGTGGATCGCTAGTGCTCCTCCAAGTCACTCGCACATCATGAGGCCAGCACCAGCGTCACAACCTACGTCTGCTCACGCCCCAGCCGCTGTTTGTTCAGCCGCACTGGTCAGGCCAACACCTCATCATGAATCATGATTCGGACTGTGTCGGACGCAATTGGACCACACGTCTCTCTCCCTCGCTCGTGTGCGCGTCCAACGTCAATGCCCCTGCGGACTTGAGAACTTGTGTGAAGACGCGATTCGTAGCGCGCACTTGTTGCACTTGACAGATAGATACGAAATTCTCATGGAGACGGCCGTCCGCCACCTCGAGTCGGTTTTTAGGCGGCGAAACGGTGCAAGACATGCGTGTGTTCCCCACCCGCGTTCGCCCAAGTGAATGCACACATCCGCTGAGCGAGGATGGCATGCCGTACTGCGCTCTCAGCCCGAATGCGTCCGGCGGCTGAGGCACTCTGACCTGACAGCGAGCTATACTTGTTTCTCTCGCCCCACGGCAGTGAATGATATCATGCATGCAGTCGGTTATCATCACCAGTGATGGCATCTATTTCTGACAAGCGTGACCGTCCGCGGCGACTTTTGCAACGCAGCCACACGACGCCTACCTCACCTGCTCGCCTCGCATCTCGCCCTCCGTGCGTCGTTCTGAGGTAACCACCCCCGCCAACGCAGCGCACGCCGCACACACGCCGCAGCCAGACTCACAACTGAACCCGGCAGCTCCGAGTCTTGTCCAGGCGCCCCGTCTTGCATCGCGTGCGGCCATGCGGGCGGGGACCGGTTCTCGCAACACGCCTCCAGAGTCCCCCAAATTTTGTGCAAAGGCAGTCGGCAGCGCGCGCGCCCCCAATTTGCCCGAGACTTGCCATATGCGGACGCATACATCGGCGCGAGATCGGTCCACGCTATTTTGGGTGCACGCAGCTCCGCCCAGATTGGCCCGCCCCGATCGAAGCGCGTGCGGCGTTAGTGGCGGACGCGAGCCCTGCGCGGACATGCGCCTTCTCTCTCCCTCTCCGGCCTCGAACAACGCCCGCTGCTCGCCTCCATCGTCGCTGCGCGAAACACTGGGGACTCTCTGCTCCATGTCTAGCACGCAAATCACGTTCTGCAGGGCCTAACTACGACGACAACCCACGCATGGTGAGTGTCCAGTATCGCGCTCAGCAACGTTTACTGGTAGACCATCTCAGATCGCCCGGGGAGACAGATCAGCATGGAGACATTGCACTACAAATGGACGAGGGCAGCAACGGCAGAAAGCGCGCGCACAGCTATTCCATTAAACATGGCGGCCCCGAGTACGCTATCAGTCGCCGCCTGCGCAGCCCGCGACTCTCTGCGGCGGACAGCGTCCACTGGAGTCCACAAGGTCCAACAAGGTGCGATGGCGCCCAGCTGCATGGTAAGTGCACCAGTCTTCCACCGCGTCCCCCTTGCTCCTGGCAGATGTACGTGTCCCTTCTTCACTCGCAGACACCATACCGCCCGTGCGTGCGCCGACCGTCCCGAGCTCTGGCTCAGCCGACCTTGTCACTCCACCTGAAACCCTCAGGCCTCGTCCCCAAGCGCGCCCCCCGCCCCCCGCTAAACTCAAAAGCTCAAAATACCACAGCGATCCCCGGCCCTGCACCAACCCGGGTCCGGAGCCCTAGCCACCCACGCACATGCCACACGCAGATGCCCAACCCAGACGCGCACGATCCACGCGAATTTGTATATGTCAAAGGGGGTGAATTTGAGGCGGGTCCCGCGCGAATTTGATGTCCGTCCGTCCTTGCCGTCATTCGTTGTTGTCGTTGTCGTCGCCATCGCCATCGCCATCGCACGAGCACGAGCACGAGCACGAGCACGGGGAGGACGGCAAGTAGGGAGGGACGAGCGTGCAGACTGTCTGCGTCATCGCTGTGACGACGGCGTGCAAGCGGCTGTCGACGCGGCCTGTGGACGTTTGTCCCGGCGGCCGATCGGGTGCTGATCAGCGTTCAACGTTCAGAGGGTAGGCACGGCTCCGTGCGCCGCCGCGGGTCAGGGTGTGTGGATCCTCGCGCACATCTCCCCAAGACGGTCTACTTTCAAGCAGATTCGTGTCTGGCGGGGCAGGGGCCGGTGCCCGGACGCCGTGCGTGCTTGGGACTTGTAGGACGCACAGACATGCGCGGTGCCTGTGGCATGGCGGCTTTTCCACTTCCTTCTTCGTTTTCCAGCTGGGCTGTGATTGTGCGAATACTAGTGACGATCGAGCAGCCACTCGCTGCGAGGACTCAAAGCACTCAGCCTTTGTGTGGCTCAGTGGGTATTCCCAGCTCAAAGGCACAGCACACGACCGCCGTCCACCCATCGAACCGTGTTGCTCCGACGAGCGTTGTCAGCCTTACGTACGCTCGCCCTGTGCACGACGCACTCCGTCGTCTACAGCACCCGGGCGTGTCCGCAGAATGGAACTGGAAAAGGCAAAGGCGAAGCGCTGTGAACACCCTCGATGACGTCGTCGGCGCCACTGGGGAGACCGCTCGAAGACAGGGTCCAGCGGGCGAAGACCACGGCTGGGGTTATGGGAAAGAGAACCGCGGCCATGCGTCGCAGGGCCCACAGCGACCGAGCGGCACACAGAACCCGGGAGTCGCCAGTTGTCGGACAGTCCACGGCTGCGTCACCAAGCCCCTCCAAGGAGCAGCGACCACGGGCTGCTTCATGCTCCTCACATCGTAGCATCTTTCGCCAGGGAGACGCACATGCACAATCCACCTGCAATCGCACGACTACGTACTCAGTTGCCTAAGTCGCACCGCGCACCGCAGATCCGCCCAGAAACGGTCGCTCGTCGGCTCGTCGACTCGGCTGCAGCGACACTACTGCACGGCGCCCTCACAACGTCAGCCACAGCGCAGATCGCCATATCCAACCTCGCCTCGGATAATCGTTCCTCCCCAGGGCCCAGATAGTCGCGGCCTCAGACCCCCTGCGATATATTGACAGCGGGCACGCGCCTCGAGAGCCTGCCCCCCCGGCGCCTCGACGCCCCGACGCCCGCCAAAAGCAGCAGCGTGCGGAAAGCCACTCGATCGTCCCCTGATCGGTGCACGATCGAGCGTAGTGGTAGTGCGGCAGCTAAGGAGAGACCTCGGCCGGGCCACGCAGTAATGACGGCGTAGTCAGCGGCCAGGGCTCAGCGCAAACCCCTGTGAGGGCCGCACGGCAGCGTATCGTTGGAGCGCAGATGCTGACTCGACGTACGCACTGGTCATCGGATCTCGGCAGGTGGAGGTGCGGCGCAGTTGGTTATGGGAGCGGGGAGGCGACGAGAGCAAGGAGTGGGCTGCTATCTACTGTCTTGTGCATTCCAGCAGATGAACACGGTATGCGTTCCTCATATCCTTTCGACGGCGGGGTAAGAGCTTTGAGACGCACGAACACACTAGCCATAACAATGACTTGGTGGACATGCTGCCATGTGCTTCAGTTCACAGTTCACAGGCAGGGGTATTGTGGTGAGCTGACTCCACGGAATCCCCTACAGAAACGAAAATACGCACCATGCTATCCTAGCTGTGGAGCTCGACTGTCCGACATCCGCCGAGATGCGCGCAGCCAGTGCCCTGTAGCTAGCGGCCAGTAGTCGCTGTCTGTAACTGTGCCGGCTGACTATACCACTTTGTTGTGTCGTGGCTGCATCTTCGCGTGACGACCATCGAGTTATATCCATATGGTTGAACCTAGCAGCTGAAAACACCCATACCTCGATGGCGGACGCACACTCAGAACAACGGTTTGTCCCTCTCAACGTTGTGCACTACTCCGTCCAATCTTCCCACCACTTCCCATCAGAAAGTTCTCTTGTCGTTCCAACTTGTTCCTCGCAGGGTTCAAATCACTATAGAGGCGAGCATCACTGCCATATGGTAACGAGGTCAACTCACCAATTCATCATGATATTTTGACCACATTTCGAGATATGAGCTGTTCCACGCAATTCCCCACATCCTTAAGCTTATTCCTATCCCTCACTGCGTCTTGCGTCCACAAGGTGATCTCTGTCGATGCATCTGCAGGTCATGCACTGAATCTTATTCGTGCGGACCTTGTGCGTTAAATGGTACGTGACTAGGCCGCTAAACAGGTCCTCCCTCCACAGCCACTGCTGGAACACCTTGCTACTCCAGGTGCACGAGCTCCCGCGCGAGCTTCCGCACGACTGATGTATTCTCGTGTGCAGACTGGGTAGTTGACGACGTGTATGATGTAGAATCCAAGAATGCACAGCTTGTATACGCATGTGCAGCCATCACATGGAAGCAGCTGCATGAACGGAAGCCTGCGGTTCAGCGAGGAGTACTTGCCACATCCGTCAGAATTGTCATATAGGTTCCTAGATCACGGCGTCAGCGCGTCCGTGTCCAAATTGGAAGAATAGGGAGTAGTGTGCGCACTAGCATTCGTCGGCCTCGCCAAACAAAAGATAAAAGTCGATTTGTGTACGGCGGCTGAGAGCGACAGCAGCATTGGGTGGCAGTGTCATAGTATATGAACAAAGAGAAAACGAGCGTACTAGAAATTAACCCATGAACGGAGCCGAAAGAAGAGAAGAGAAGAAAAAGGGTGATAGCGGTAGACGACGAGATCTACTCACGAAGCCGGTGAATGCGAGTCGATTCGGATGAAAAATGGGGTCGCTGAACTCACTGTAAACTCAATGAGATGCTTGGAGCGCCACTAAATCCATCCCTGTCGTCCGAACAAAGTCACACCATGTTGAGGTGGACATCAACCCCGGGCTTGCCTGCAAATACCAAGGCCTGTACAGTGTATGGCCTCAGGAAGCGAGCTTTGATGGTCACACCCTACTTTATAGTCACGCACTCGTGCCTCCGTGCCTCCAAGAGTTCAGAGACCACACAGAGGCCTTCTAAGCTCCCAAGGCCAGCAGAACGATGTCGAATTTCACTCAATAGCGGCCATCGCTGCCACGTCGCCTGGGCTTTCGCGTGGGCCTATGCATGCAAGCACAGACAGCGAGGGGAGCAAAAGGGAATTGAGCGGTGCAGGCGCGTGTGCGGGGACAAGCAAGGTGTGATTCAGAGAACGAGCGGCAGAAGAGGCGGAGGAGGGAGAGAGCGTTCCGTCCGGAGATGGCTCTTTTTGCACGCAGCAACCGGCGCTCCGCGCTCTGCGCCTGCAGCTCTTCCTTGACCCCCGCTGCTCGATCCGTGCTGACCGTTTGCTGGTTTATTTACATACCCCACGGCCCGTAATGGGCAGAAGAGGAGTTGTCGAAGGACGAATGGATGGGGGACGCGGAAAGAACGGCGTCGGGCAGGTGTGATTAGTGAGTGAGTCTGCTCGCTGTGTTGTCATATCTCGCCATCCCAGGCTGGCGACGCTTGTATGGCTGTGGCCTCGATAGCTCCCAGCGTGCAAGCAAGAGATGTGAGGGCCGCTCAGGTTGTCGTTGAGTCGCATGTACGGGTTTGCAAGTCCTGTGTGAATATAGCGAGGGACCGTCGGCTGATTTGGAGCTGCCACGGAATGACCATGTGCATGAGGTGAGGCCAGGAGAAAGCAGGAAGACAGCGGCGAGTGTATCTCAAGTGCCAGTAATTATCTCAAGTGTATCTCTTCCCTGTCACCATCCGACTTGGACTAGAAGGCGGGGTCCGGCGGATCGAAACCCTAACCTAGCCTATCCTCCTCCTAGCCCCGTCA